TTACACAAAGTCAAAGTGATATTGATCAAATAGATATCGAACAAATTATTACTGATGCTTACCATGAAGCTGTTGATATGCTTGATCGTTTAGAAATATTGAATTTACTGAAAGAAAAACGTGTTCTTGGCTTAAACTTATTAAGTGAATATGTGTTTAAACAGCTAAATTCGAACTCAAAGATGTATGACTACTCATCTCAACTGAGCAATATAGATGATGAAGAATTCGAATTAGCAGATGATGATGATGATGATGATGATGAAAGAGCAGATGATCTCAACATGGATGATGGTAATAATGATAGTACTTCTTCTAATGATGATTACACTGATGACGACGAACAAGATGATACTCGAAATTTAATAAATACGACGAAAGATGACTATGTTGGAATAAAAATCTTCAATACGGTTCAGACCCACATAGAACATTCTTATTTTAAAGTTACAATCAATGACGATATGAAATATATGCATAAACAAACTGCTTGTTGGTTATTAACAGGAGAAAAAAGTAAAATTTCAAACGATTGATTGCTTCGAGTACAGCAGACTAATAAAAAAAAATGATTTTTTTCTTCTTTATGTACCATTTTCTTGAATTTTTCAATAAAATAAAGACCATTTACTGACTTTGAAATTTTGGAATACATGAATGTGTTGAATACGAAAAAGAGAAAGATGGTTCATAATGGTCGCTGAATAAACACTAATAAATATTTCATATGAGAATACAGATGATACAAACAAATAAAAAATAAAGAAATCAAATTTCTATCATGGATTTCTGAAGATAGGCAAGAATTTTACAAGACTCCACTTGACTCCGCTTGACTCCACTTGACTCCGCGTGAGTGGAGTCTGCTGTTTCCCCCTTGAGTTTATTTGAATAGATGCATGTACGATAATACACTGAAGGAAAACGTTCTTTTTTTCATTATTTTTCGAACGATTAGAAACTATCGAGACGCTTGAATTTTTATCCTAGTCACACATGGATCGAAGCAAAAGGAAACTCTTTGAGATTGGTGCTGTATAGATTATTCATTGAATCCCATACTACCAACTATAACGTACTACTTTTCGCGATCAAGTACAGTATTCAGTAGCATTGATTCGGAAACGAATCAAAACCTCCAACTTCATCCGTAATAGCCCAGCGTGAGCATATATAGGTATAGCTCATCAGAAAGTTCCCGTGAGTCAGTACGGAAGCACAAAAATGTACCCATTGTTCTTTTGTAGCTTATTCTTTCACTAGTGACCAATATCGTGTAGGGTCCTGATTGAGACTGTCGACATATCACTTGCTGTTTTATAAATATTATATCTTCTGAAGAAGTGAATTTGGGACTTTAAGCATACTTCCAAAAGTACGGGATTACCAACCACAGCAAGCAGATTACCAGAAAATATCAAACTTCAGGGATGATTGAAGTTCAGCGGTAATCTCTAAAGAAACCGACAACCACTACTATATTGTATTATCTTCCATTTATTTAAATAGAAAAGTATGTTGAAAGCGTAATATGAATGAAAATTTCCTTTTCCAGGAGTTTAAACATTACTGAGTTGTTGTTAAAAGATTTTCGACTAAGAAAGAAAATATCGTATGCATTCATTCAATGAAGCATTGGAATAAAAAAAACTGTCACAACGAAAAGCAAAAATTTTTTAATAATCAGTCAAACATTTTCTAAAATGCTCATATCAATCCATCTGAACTGAAAAATTAAACGATTCTGCAAAAACCTTTCGATCAGCTTTGAAAAATAAATTTACTGTGTTGTCTATTCCGTATAAAAAAGAAGATCCCAAATGGTTTCTCTCATTATCTATTCAGTTATTTTAAGAGGTAGTCATAAAGTAAAACTGTATCGTGAAGATTGAAGAAATCTGAATCTAGAAACATTTGAAACTTACTCGATAACGTGGATACACATCGACAATATCATTTAATTTCTTGCAGGAATCACGAATCGAGCATAAAATCGTATAATCATCAAGATTATCGAGGATTTTATACACGAGTTCTATGGGCAACGATAAAATGGGTGATGATGGTGATGAAGTTTGTTCAGCCATGGATACTGTTTGATTTACTTTCAATTTTTTTCCTGCAGTGAATAGGAATTAAAACTGCTTATTATTCATCTCAATCTGTTTTGAAGTATCGTATGTATAACGATAGATATGTTATTTTTGTTGTCTTTTCTATTACACGGACAATAAAAATCGTCCAAAGTAGCTGAATACGTTGATTGGATATTACAAATATATACATCAAGTGCTTTAAAAGCACCAATATCTAGTTAGATGACGCTCTTATATTATACTAATAAAATATATCAAGAATAAAAATCAAAAAAGTAGCAAGAGTAATTTACTTTACACTAATTTATTTTATTAACGCTTACTTGTATCAAGTTCTTTCATTTTAATGAATCAAATTATGTCCAGTTTAATGCGTCAACAATGACTCTATTTAGTAAAGTGTGTTACTTTTGTTAATCGATTATACACATGTTGTAAATACCAAATAATGTGTTGCGGTAAACCACGGTATTTACCCTTCCTACATTAAATTACACTGATAGGAGAGTCAGTAATCGGACCGGTGAAACCGCGGTTAAGTATAGATTTTCTTCCGGTTTTTATTACATGGATAATAATCATACATTTTTGGTAATGGAAATACATCGTTCATTGTAATTTGATTTAATCGACGTCAATTCACACAAAATCTTGCTCTTACATCTTTCGTTTTTACACATACGACTACTGAGGACCCTGGCTGAGGGTGTGGGTGTGTTTGTGACTAGGAAGTTTCGAACATTCAACTCAGACACCACCACCCACACCCAAACTGAATAATTGACTGCGAAAAAAATTTGAGTTTTTATTTCAGTATTTCAAATTAAAGACCTATTAGAAATAGTAATAGACCTAGCATATTAGCTCGATCTGGCAATTACTTGCTACAGTATGAAATATACAGAGTCATTCATTACACTAAAGTCTTCAATACACGCACATACTTTGTTCATGCCAGAATTTTTTAATTGTATAAAATACTCAGGATTTTGCACGTGCAACAGTTTCTCGTCTTATTTCTTTTAACTACATCGATTGTAAAATATACTCTACGAGTTGTTTATGATACAGCGCCTATTGCAAAGAAAAATCTTGTTTTATCTGTATTTTTCGATCAACTCAGACAATAACTAATTTTTAAAAGACCTGTACTATTGAAAGTGAAGTTTTGATTTTAGTAGAATTGCTAAAATGCCCCATTTTTATTGCCAATATCCAATCAATACAAATTTACATAAACTATTGAATAATAAAGCACATATAAACATCTGCATTCACATTCTCTGAATCAGCCTTCTTTACTTGGAAAAACTGAAAAGAAATTATTTTCTTTTTTCAAGTAATGTACCGAGTAAGTAAATGTGAATAATAAAACATACATAATGCGATGCACACGTGTTGGTTGTGTTGCCAGTAAAGGAATAGCAAGCAACATAAGAAATTCACTGAAGTGGCAGTTATTATTCTTTAAAAAAAAGCGTTTGTTTTCAACTGTATATGAGTGAAATCCTGAAAAGAAGGCTTCTAGAAAATTGTGTCATTATTTGGCTTACTTCAAATATTGATCATGATGACAGTACACACAAATTTATCGAACGATTACGTCAACTTATTAACATTGTGCAAGTATTTGCCGATGAAGATTCTTTTACATCTTACATATCCCATGTGATTGAAGAGCGCGTGCTTTTGATTCTTTCAAAAGATGTTGCCGATCGAACGATTCGATTTATAAATCAACTAGAGCAAATTGATTCTGTCTATTTATTTGATTCAAATGCAACGCCAAATTGGGTTTCTAAGGTTCGAAAATTTAAAGGTACTTTCAATGATACTGAGTCCCTTTATCCTATCTTACAATCGAATTTTCGACGTGTTGAAAATGAAAATGTTGCTTACAATATTATCGGTAATATTCTATCTTGTGCTAATGGTCAAATAAATAAACAAGAAGCATCATTCATGTATACTCAATTATTGAAAGATATATTTATTCAGATGACAGAAGATAATAAAGATGAGATGATCAAATTTTGTCGCGAACAATATGCTGATAATCCACATGAATTACGATTTGTTAATGAATTCGAACAAAGTTACGAATCAAATCAGGCTATAAATTGGTATACACGAGAAGGTTTTCTATATAAAATTGTAAATAAAGCACTTCGAACACAAAATATTGAATTATTATATAGAATTCGAACATTCATTCGACATTTACATATGCATTTACTCGAATGTTATCAAAAACAAGAAAACAATGCGACAGCAAGAACACTCTATAGAGGTCAACGTATGTCGATAAATGAATTTGAAAAGCTTCAAAATAACAAAGGTGGACTTCTTTCTATTTCGAATTTTTTCTCGACTTCCGAAAACAAATCATTGGCTATGATTTACGCAGGTATTTCGAATGATGATGAAATAGCTATACTATTTGAAATTGAAATTCAACCATTCCTAATTGAAATCACAAGTCCGTTTGCCAATATTCAAGAATTTAGTCATTTTGGACAAGAAGAGAAAGAATGGTTGTTTTCATTCGGTTGTGTTTTTCGAATAGTTGAACTTGAACCAGGGGTTAATAATCAACCTTGGATTATCCATTTATTATTAACAAATGAATTTGATCAGCAATTAAAAATGATGACGGAATATTTTCGAAATGATATTTATATTGGATTACTTTTGCCCATTCATTCTCTAGCCAAATTATCTTACAAAATGGGCATTTACAGTACTGCTCTTGAATACTATCGAATAGCTCTGGAGTCCGAAACAGAATGGAGAGGAAAAATTATGATTTTAAAAGAAATTGGACTAACGTATGAACGCCTGGCTCTTATTGATGATGCACTCGCTTGCTATAGCAAAGCACTTGCTATGCACGAAAAATTGAACAATAAACAAACAAACGATTATCATAGACTATCGGCGATCTATATCGGTATTGCTGGTATCCATTCAATTAAACAAGACAAAGATCTGTCATTGAAGTACTTATATGAAGCACTCAATACAGAATTAAACATTGAACAACCGAGTAGAGAGATTCTTCTAAATTGTTACAATGATATTGGTTTTATTTTTTTTGCCAAAGAAAAATATGATGAATCTCTAACAAACTATGAAAAAGCTTTGGATATTAGTACGCAAATATATCCCGCAACACATCCGAATATTGGTACTATATATTTGAATATTGGAAATGTCTATCAAGCACAAAATCATTATAAAGATGCATTAGAAAACTTTAAAAAGTCACTTGATATTCAACTCGCATCTTTACCAATTGACCATCCGGACATTGCTCGATCGTTGAATCATATATCCGGCAATTATCATGCTATTGGTTGCTACGAAGATGGACTTAGCTTTTGTCAAAATGCATTAAATATTTATTTGAAAAGCATGCCAGAAAATCATCCCAATCTTGCTATTCTATATAATAATATGATAGAACTCAATGACAAGTTAGGTCGATTGAATGAATCCTTATATTTCCGATACAAGAAGCTTGCTATTTATTTAGCTACTTTACAACCAGATGATTCTAAGATCGGTATTACCTTCAATACTATTGCTGCGACTCTAACTGCTTTGGGTCGATTTGAAGAAGCAGTAGAATATGCTTTGAAAGCAGTTGATTTTACAAACAGAGTATTTGGTGAAAGTCATCCTGCAACAAAAACATGTCGTAAAAATTTGGATGATTTACTGGAGCGTATGTCCTAAGAAGATTATAAAATCTCAATGAAAATTAATAGATGTCGTGTAAATGTAACCAACGTAAATGTACATTAACACTATAAAAGCATTAAACTAGATTTCATAGCAGTCAATGACGGTTTCAAAATCTTTTAATACAACTATTTTTTCGATGTAGAAATGAGATAGCTACCTTCATAACTAATCATGATTTAGAAATTTTTAAAATTATATTGAGATTATTTTTGAAAAGAAAATTGACAACTTAGATATACTGTACTTTTTGTGCATATAACTAGGGGTGGATCATATAATTTAATGCGAGTTAATTAAAGGTTAACGCTTTTAGTTAAGGTTATTTTTAAATTAACGTAAACGTACCACCCCTAACTTTGACACCATGAATTCGTGCTGTCCAAGGTTCATCGGGCATCAAAACATGTTCAAAACTACTTGGGTATGCACAGTTAATCATGTAATCAATGGCTAAATTTTGAGTAACTTTATCAACGAATTCGATAGCTTCCTTTAGAGTTTTTCCTCCCGCTAATCGACCATCTGTTTCGACAGTGAATGAGATTGCAATTGGCAGCTTTTACCATTCCAGCAACTTCTTCGGGATAGTTCAATGTGAAAACAGTGATCATATTCGCTTTTGTTTGACTGAAAACATCGATTTGTATCGTATGATGTGCTTGAGCTTCTTCAACCGTCATAGTAGTCGCAAGATTATAAGCATCGTCGCGTGTACCAATACATCCATTAATAACTATTTGACATTTTTCTGTTTCATATTCATCTCGAATGTCGCAGAGCAATTGAATGGCTTTGTGGCCCATATCAAGAAATTTGCGTAAGAAGTTTTTCAGCCACTCGTATGTAACTTCGTGCTTCAATAAATTGAACGAAACAAAGCATAGAAGATCCATATCCTCATGAAAGACAAGTGTAGTCTCCTAACCGCCATTGGTTATAAAAAAAACTTATCGGAAAGTTTTGACTATGAATTTCTATATTTAGTCATAAAAGCAACTAAACAACAAAAGTATCGATGATGCTAGCTAAAATGTTACTTAACAATATGAACAAATAACTCTAACGATGGAACATTTCCTCGTAAATGTGAAATCGCATAAGTTAAAAATTAGATTCTTCACAGTTAGCTATTCATTTTTGAAATTGACTTCATCTTCTAAGGAAACATGTACATTCGAATAGCGGCGAAAACAAAAACTTAAACATTTTTTCTTACATAGAGCATCACACATTGATTACCCAAATATATGGAAGAGAAAATTACTTGAAATAAAAGAATCTTGTGCTGTTGAAAAGCATTCTCAAGTTTTCGTTTCGTTGCATCGAAATATCCCAGAATGAAGTGACTATTTTAGTTTCAATGCAAACTCAGTACACTACTGTTGAATATCGAAATAAAATCACGATAATATATTGTTGATCTTTAGATTACCAAGAAAAGTCATTCAAGAAAACGTTAATATTGATATGCTCATAATTCTTTAGCTGTTTAACTATCGATTTAATCTCTAGAAAAATTGTTGACATCGCCATTCGAACTCATTTCTAGGGTATCTTATCTGAATGATTGTGTCCGATCATGCTACAGATATTATTCATTGATGATGAGTGTCTTCGAAAATCGAGTTACATGTGTCGAATAAAATTCGATATTGTCCATAACTTCGGGAAAACAGACTCTGTCTCTTCATTATTCATGGTGCGCTTAATTATAACGTGTGTCATACTTTAAAAATAAAATTCCTCATAGAAAATATGAAAAATTATGAATGAACATCGCATAAACCGATAGGGTGTGGGTGTAACTACATATTTAGTGGTACCCTCATTTTCGAAAACAGCAAGCACCTAAAACTGGTCTATTCGAGCTTTTACAGTCTCTATATATGACTGACGCCTAGAAATATCAGCTTTCACATCTTGAAGAATGTTCAAAAGTGTGATAAACTGCTGTTGAATTCGACTTGAATTGTGGTTCTGCATATAATGAAAGTATTGCTATAAATTATGCTTGTCAGTATTGCGCCGACTCGACGTAGATAATCGACATAAGTGACATGAACTTTTTCTTAACTCTTCCGGGTTGGAATGGATAGATGGTTTAGGAGTAGTTTCACACCCACAACCTAATAAGTTATAAAATATCTTATGTATTGATCTTCGCTTATAAGACAAGATTTATTTTAATCAATAATACAAGCGTAAACTGCTAAATCTAAAAACTGCAAGACTATCATCAATTATCGATATCTATTGTGCTCGTCTGTAGAATCTATGAACTTTAGCTGTTCCACATTCTAAAATCTAAAAGCAGACAATATATTACACGTTTGAAGAAAATATCTTTATAATATCATACAATTTGTTGTTGATCTTTTTCGTCTATCCAACGTGTTATCATTGATAATTTACCATTTTTATCATGCATCTTTTGAATCCACTTGCCATCATCAAATTGAATGATCCCCTGATTTAGAAAAGATATCAATGAAGCTTACGAAATTATTCGAATAGTGTTACTTTAAGTTCACGCCCATCGGCTGTTGTTTCGTTGTATTCAACACCTGGTGTAAATTCTACTACTGTCGTTTTAAAAGTTGTCTCTGTACGAAGTGTCCATTTACCATCTGTTTCAGTAATAATTAAACGAGGTTTTACTTGCTTAGCCATCATACGTCCCATCATACCAATTCCAAGTTCCTTTAGATACTCGTCCATATTGTCTCCATCAGCCTAAATAGAATGAAAAGCTTCATCACCAGTAATACTATCGTCATTTTCATACATAGTCCCAAGTATCAATGAGAGCTTCAATACTATTATTCTGAGCCATCGATGAAATAATGAGAATTGGAAACTGTCAGAAATAAACAACAAGTTTATTGCGTAAAAAAGAGTAAACGTAGCAGAACAAAGGCTATGCAAATAGAAAAACAGAAACGATTACATATACTCACACCAACACGTGTAGAGATTGTGATATTGTCATCACTTTATCAAATGAGTCCTTACGTATACAGTGGCATTCAAGGCATCAATGTACTATTGCGTAAATATTGATTAACTATACATTTTAAAGAAAAGTAAATAAGAACTACAGTTAGATTATCTCCCTTGGATGTGCTGGCACTGGATGACGCAAATGAATTACAAAGTAATTCAGATTAGTCGATTCCAAAGTAATCCTGTGTTGGGCAATAACCAGTATAGCTCTTATGGGGACTACCACGGAGAATCAGGGTCTACCATAGGGAATCAGTGTCTGCCATAGGGAATCAGGGTCTATCATAGAGAATCAGGGTCTGTCATAGGGAAGCTGGGTCTACCATGGTGTGAGTATCACGTAGAGTATACACAGCAAGAGTACACACACACATCATACACGATGGTGTGGGTGTAATAAAGGGTGTACAAGGCGAGAACACACACATCACAGCCCACATATGTTTAGGACCTTAGTAGAACCTAGTAGACCCTGACAGGGCCTGATAGACCGTGGTAGATCCTGTTAGACCCCGATTCCCTATGGCAGACCCTGATTACCAATGGCATACTCTGACTACGTTACATTTTTGAATTATTTTGTAATTCATTTGTGTCATGAAGTCTATCCTGGGCACACGGTAAGAACCTTTAAAGGTTTCGCAGATTTTTTAATCCTTTTTTTGAAACTTTGGACACCTTTGGATGCTTTTAGAAATCTCCGGAACCTTTTTTGGGGCTCAGTAAAGAGCCGATTTTTTTAAAAGTGTACCACCACCGCTGTAGGTTTTTGGTTTTGTTAGAAATTTACAATTTTCTCCCAAAATTGAATTTACCACAGATTGATATGTCCTAGTATGTAACCCTCACCCATCCACACTTCATAGGACGGTTGAACAGTCACTCATTAGACTTATAGATTTGTGACTTCTTTTTTATTTTAGCAACTTTTAGATCAATTTACGCTTTTAATAGCAAACGTAAAGTATGGGCGATGAAATTCAAAAAGTTAAAAAGGCAATAGCTTTAAATCATGCCATTATATTCGTTGGTACAGGTGTATCTCGTTATACGACAAATAATGAGCAAGACTTTGCTACGTGGGTTGGATTATTAAAAAGTGGGCTTCAAAGATGTCATCAGTCCGGATGGATTAGTGATAAAGATATCGATTATTTTATCAAGAAATTCGATAGTCATCAAGCAATCATTGATGACTATTTGAGTGCTGCTGATCGAATTGAAAATTGTTTTAAAAAGGAAAGTGATGAAACAAAGAATGACGCTTACAGAGTATGGCTGGTGGACACAATAGGAAAATTGATACCTAAAAAGTCCGAACTTATTGAAGCTATAGGAGAATTGGGATGTCCTATTTTAACAACTAACTATGATGGTCTTCTTGGAGATGTATTGAAGAAAAAGCCCTTAACTTGGAATAAATACAAAACTGATGGTATTGGAGATTCGTTTGAAGACATGAAAAATTTCGTTCTACATGTACATGGATATTATGAAGAACCGGATAGTGTCGTTTTTAGTAGTAACGATTACAAGAAAATTCTAGATGACGAATTTGCACAATCGAAATTAAGAGCACTGATGGAAACAAAAATTTTGTTATTTATTGGCTATGGTGCTGGAATGTCTGATCCGAACTTTTCAAATTTATTACAATGGAAATTTCGAGTTGCAGGTCAAAAGGCGTTTCCAATCTATAAGCTTGTAAAATCGAATAAAGCCTTAAATCAGATTACGGATGTTTCGTTTTTAGAAAATGTTAGAGAAATTCCTTATGGTGAAACTCATGCAGATCTATTAAAATTTATTAAAAATCTAAAGTCGTTTACTCCACTGTTGTATGACAGCTTATCATTAACAGAAGCAAAAGAAACTATTCGTAAAAAGTATCTAAATTTTCTTTCTAAAGAGCATGGTTATGTATCAATATTCGGATATTCTAAATCGAACATTAGTTTATCTTTAGAAAGTGTTTATGTCGAATTAAAATTTGATCCAACACATCCATCGATTAAAGCAATGAAAATGCTTGAAATCTCTGAAGAGTTTAAACGTAAAATTTTATCGCATGGATTTTTTGATGCCAAAGAGATGACAAAAATATTCAGAGCTATTATGGAAGTAAATGGATATAACGTTCAAAATATTTATCGAGATTTGATGAGTGAACAATTGTTAAATGTTATTTTATCTAACAAGAATATATTTACTGAAGATGAAGCTGATTCGATCAAAAATAAAATCAATGAATTAAAACGTAGCATTCTGGAAAAATCTACTATTAAAGAAGTCAAACAATATCATATACAACAGGCATACAACGAATTCAGGCATTTTGTACTCTTAGGTCATCCTGGTTCGGGTAAAACTACATTATCGAAATGGTTGATAATCAATATGGCTAAGCAATGTTTAGGCGAGAAAAATATGCTGTTTGATAGTAGCTGTTCTATTGAGCCAAAACTACCAATCCTTATACCAATATGGAAATACGTTGATCAATTAAAAGACAATCAACATGAACAGAAAAAAACCTTGCTTCAATTCATCTATGAAAATCCTACTCTAGATTCAAATTATTTTAACGATGACGAACGAAAATTACTGTCATCTTTGATTATACAATCGTTGATACGAGGCAATGTGTTAGTTATTTTCGAAGGATTAGATGAAGTTCCTGTTCATATAGATCGATCTGGTTTAATGAAAGAAATCAATGATTTATTAGAACGTGGAATAGACTATGATGCAAAACATGGCAAAATTTCTTATTCAATTTATGAACGAAAAGAAATAAATAGTACTGATGATCCGACTATTGGCAATCGATTTATTATCACAAGTCGTATTGAAGGAAATTATTTCGAACAAATCAATTTTTATATACCTAGATTAACAATTGAGGATATGTCTAACGAAGCTCTCAAATTATTTTGTAATTCCTACATGGAATGTATAAAGGAAAATTCTATCAAGAGTGGGAGACATGTGAAAGAATACAAGACTGATCAATTATATGATGATATTACGAAAAATAAAGATATTTTTCGATTAGCAATCAACCCACAACTGGCTAGTGTAATTGCTGCCATTTACAATCAATGTGAAGACAAATTGCCAGAGAAAAGAATTGATCTATATGAAAAAGCAATAGAAAAGATGATTGAACGATTGACAAATTCTTCGAGTAGTTCTCCAACAAACTATATAAGTAAAGAACTTGGACTCAATGCTACTATATTATGGTCAATAATGCAAGAAATAGCTGAATATTTACATAGTAAAGTGGAAGGTTTGCAAGAGAATATTTTAAAAGAAATTATAAGAAAATGTCTGGTAGATTATCAGAAACAATCAGCAAAAGATTCTCAGATCAACATCGATGATACAATCGGAAAGCTTGTTGATATATTTAAATATCAAGCAGGTTTATTGAATGAATTTGGTAATAATAGCTTTCGATTTATTCATCGTACGTTTCAAGAATATCTTGCAGCAAAAAGTATTATTTATTTTAATGGATCACAACGAAATGAAGATATTATTTTGAAAAATATTCAAGAGAAAATTGCTAATCCGAATTGGAGAGTTCCTCTAAGCATGGCATTTGGAATATTGAGTAAATCAACTCAATACAGTGAATTATTTAACAATATTATTGGGAAATTATTTAACGATGAGCAAGTTTCATCGAATGCACAGTTTTCTACCTCTCTAATACCGTATGTAATCATTGATTCATTGAGCGATATGCATTTTTCATCAAAAGACACCGACTATACATTGATTCGAAAGTTATTAGAACATCTAATGATCGATTATAAAAATTTGTCCGGCTTTTCAAGATTAAAAGAGCATCAAGAATTAATTCAATCGTATTTTTCAAAATTGAAAAAAACTTACAATAGTTTAATCACTGAATGGTTTATTGAAAAGATAAATCAAGGAGAAAATATTGCACCATATGCCAATATTATCTATCAGTTGAAATGGTATGATCCCAAATTTCATGAAATATTTTTAAAGAATTTACATCATGATTCTGTGATTTGGAATTGGCCAATTGATTCGATCTTACGGTTTTATTCAACAAATATCGAACACGAATCAGTATTATTGGAATTAAAATTTAAAAGAATGCTAAATAAAAATCCGGAAATGGTTAAACATATAAAGAACAATAGTGAGTGGTTATGCGTCGTTGTGGCTCTTTATGGAGGATACAAAAATTACAATACTCCCTCAAGTATCAGAGAATATTTGGAAATCGGTCAATTTCTTTCTTTAAGTGACAAAGAAAGGACACCATTTATTTTTTATTATCAGGAAGTATGGGGCCGGGAAGATCCAGCCTACAGTATGGCTGTGCATCTGGACACAGCTGTATCTAAAGAACGCTGGACTGAAAAACCAATATTCGATACGAATCAAATCTACAAAGAATCATATCTAACAACAAAAATTATCGAGTTCCTCGCTAAAGAAAAATCTGTAACAGAATTACTAGAAGACTTGAGAAAGCAAATCAATAGTCAATTATTATCTGCTGGTGAAAAAATAGACGTATTGATTGCATTAATGGCTTTGGGGGATTTCGATTATATAAACACTTTTATCAAAGAAATAGAGCAAAAATTGATAGAAAGCTTCGGCAATAGAGTAGACCAGTTAATTTGCAGCTTAAAAGATCCGATTGCAAGGTGCTCTTCACAAGTCCCAAACTATTTACTTACAGCTTATAAGATGATGAAAGCAAAACAATTGAAATATAATCTTAGTTTTCCTGAATATTGCAAAATATACTTATCTCTAGTAGCTGATTGTGGAGGATTACCTATTGACACTACAAAATTAGCTGTAGCTATGGACAATCTGGAACATAAATATACTTTATATTCAGAATATCTTGCCTTTAAATTTACCAGCCCGGAAGTGGACGGTGATAGCAAATATAATGTTGCGAAGACATTAGAAAGTATGGAAATATACAAAACAAGTGAAATTATAAATTCATTTGTAAAAATAAATGATTCTGTTCAGATCTATAGACCTATTCGATCATACTCATGGCCGACAGATATATTTATTTTCAAATCTAATAACGATGATGATCTATCAATCGCATTTTTCAATTGTTTAGAAAACATCCATACTAATTTATCATTTTCGGTATATCAGATCTCCAAATGTTTACTTGAGAAGGGATATTTCGAAAAAAATCCTGAGTTGACTACATTAATGGTGTTATTAAATTTTGGCACTATGTCAAACCATGGAGACTATCGTGAAATTTGTGACCGTTTGCTTCCTGAGTTGACCGATAAGACAAATATTAAAGAATTTCTACATGAAAGAATTACAACCATCAGCAATTCATACTATAGATCGAGAGCATTAAGTCAATTGGCACAATTCTATGATGGGAAAAGCTATGAGCTTTTGCAAGAATCTTTCGAACTCACGAAATCTATTCAAGAATCAGTTCTCAGGTTTCAAGTTTTGGAAAAAATATTTAGTACTACTCATTACAAGGAAGTTAAACAGAAGTCGTTTATCAAAAAAATACTTGACGAATTAGTTTTATCATATGATACCATTACCGATCAGTATGATCGAGTTATTGCATCGATACGGTTATCATTTTATGGATCAGGTGATTTTCGAAAAAAATATTTGACAAATGCCATAGAAGCACTTTCGAAGATGGATGAAAATGAGGAACAAATGAAACTAATAATAAAATTAAAACCATTAATTTCCATTTATGATGAGCTTCAAATCGACCTTAATGGGATTATAGAGAATGTGAAAAATAAAATATATAAGCATTATGTTAATTCTTATTATGGACGAATACTGTTTTCTGAAAAACTAGATATTGATAATGTTTCAAATTCAGCCTTAGTCATAGATAGAAAAGTCGAAAATATTAGTCAGGAAGAACAAAATAACGATTTGCTAGATCGCAGTGGTAATGGTGAAAAACCAACTGAAGACCTGATAAAACCAGATGATAATGGTGACAAACCCACTGAAAGCATAATAAAATGCAATAATAATAATAGCGATGATGATAGCGATGATGATAACGCTTTTCTTGAACGCAAAAATAAGAATGTTGCTCAAATCATAGATGACTCCGACTATTCTAACATTCAAGCTCTATTTATGCTTTTCGCACAATTGAATGATGTTCAGCTAGCACTTGTCAAGACAAACAGCTTAAATCAATTGTGGATTAATCTTTTTAAAGATACGAGTAATCAATCCAATGTTGAACATTTACTCAAAGTGGCCTTCGATAGTGAACTACTTTTGACACCACAAGTAGCAATTATTATTGACGAATTAGTACGAAACGGAAAAGAAGATAAAATCTCATTTCTTTTTCCGTACATAATAAAACCATCAAATGAAGTGTTACCAATTGTTCATAGATGGTTTACTGATCTTCATAACAGTCAAATCCAAAAGTTAGCAGCTCTGCTTCTTACAGAAGCAAAACATGTTTTCGAAGCTGCCATCGATACACTTATAGATTTACTAAAAAGTGACAATGATCAGATCCGATATAGAGCCCAACGAGTTTTTCAACATCCCGAAAGGGATGTTAATGAACCGAGCAAAAGAATATCTGTGATTGGGGAAAAAACATTAATGACAATTCTGCAAAATAAATTGTTGAAAGAGCATCTTTCACGAGTTCGAGTTTATCTTCATACTTTTTTCTTTGACCTTCTTTGGGATGACCCTCTTGTATTTCAAAGTCTTTATGAGTGTGTCGCAAAATTGAAAGAAAGGCAATCTGCTGGCGGAAAAAAAATGAGATTTTTTGATTGCATTTTCTTTATCAATGAAAGCACTTGGAATTCAATTTTGAACACCTTGCAATCGCCGTCACATTCATCGTATGTAGAAGAAATATTTCATTCAACCATGGCGCTAATGAATCGTGATCAAATATCAGAACAATGCTGGAACGATTTTTCGAAAATACTGTCGGTTACAGATACAAGCCAATTCAAAGAAAAATTGTATTTCCAAGAAAACGAAATCACAGCAAGTAGATTTATACTGCAAACAGTTTGCAGCTCGACATGTGCAAACGATGAAGCATACTTTCAACTTCTTGAATCAATGGTTATTAATGAACTAACTGTTCGAATCGAAAGTCTTTCGCAAGCTAGTTTTCAAAACATTAAAGGTATTTGTAACTGTACTTTTTATGTATCAACAAATGATTTAAATGGCGAAATATTGAGCATGTTAGATGATTTTCCAATAACCATCAATATAATGGAAGTTTTAATTAAGTGGTTGTTACAAAGAATGAACAGTTTCAAAGGCATTGATGATACCATGTTTTCAGTAATATCATGTCAAAATTTGTTATCCTTAGTTGCTGCGTGTGCTCAACAAGAGGATTACTTATATCGAAAAATTATTGACTCTCCAGATTTTAATAAAGCTCAAATAATCAAACTTTTAGAAAAAGTACTCAATAACCATCGGTCCTTTATATCGAGAGGTAGTGCTTTTATTTTATTGTCAGCAATGAACAATTCCGATCAAAACGTAATCATTAACGCATTGAGTGCACTATTTGATGAAAATGAGGTTAAAAAATATGCTGCAATTGGAATTCCTCTAATACACTTATCGCCAAATGAATTTATAGATGATTTATTAAAATCTTTGAAAAATGAAAGTGCGATAAAAGCTTATGAAATATTAAAAATTTTAACGCAGTATACTTTGGATGAAAAAATTGATGCCCATACGAAATCGAAAATAATTAGTTATTTAGCAAAAGAAATTGGAGAATTAAAATCAAAAAAACCAATTAACTACTATTATACAGATATCAAGATTCCCTTTACGACAACATTGGAAAACGAATTATACAAAACATGGGTAAAAATACAAGGGCTCTCTGGAAAAGCGCAATACCAAACTGACACAGAAACATAGTAAGAGTAATGCTACTCTATTTCAAATACTGTTCTTATTTCATTTATTATCACTTTCCAGTAATTTCTATTTTACATAACCAATCTACTTTCTATTAAAATATCAATCAGGAGCGAATTCCAACAAAGCATACTCGCACTCGTCATAATTATTAGGTACATCTAATATCTTAATATTTCTAAGTTCCATGCAGATTTTTTTCGAGAACCTATTACCATGGTTCCAAACAGGATTCACTTGAGAGAATTACTTGCTTTGAATGATAGTCTATTCTAATTAGAACTATTGGCAACTACTTATTAAGCAACAACAAAAGCTGCATCACTACGATAACAAAAAAAGGAACTCGTAAATTTGTTACATCATCAATGGTTTTTGTTCTACTCTCTTTAAGATACCACTGTCTCACTATATATGTTTCATTGGTTCAGAGATGATTTTGCCTAAATTAATCTTCAAGCAGCTAATGATTTCTGCAACAAGAAATCTTTTCAAAATGAACATATACTCTTAAACAGTTTTAATAATAACCCTGTTAAATTTGAAGAAACAATTCGTTGAAAGCATCAATTACGAGAAGTATTAAATCAAATTTAGCTTTTTAATAATTTTTTTTCTTATCATAATTAAATGTACTACATAATTGAACAGTCAAATGTAGAAGTTATCTATAGAACAAACGACTTCGTCAGATATTTTTCGTTAAGGACTAGTTGTAAAAATCTAGCGCGAACTTATTCTCATATAGATATTATTTTTTTCATCTAAATTCTCTCCATTACGTTTTTTTTTATGACACCAATAGAAGAAATATTAGCTAGATTTATTTTTCTCTTCCTAAAACATTTAAGTATTGAATTAAGTAATTTGATTATCATGAAAAATAATGATCGACAACCAAAAAAATCAATTTTACGAAAATCGTCCGATAAAAATCTTTCATTAAATCAAAATAATTCTATTATTTTAACACAAAAATCCAAATCATTAATCCGTCGTAAAGTTCTTTTTACACATGTTGATTCATATGAATTCGATCCTCAAATGCCGTGTAGATTTATTAATTCACCACAACGTGAACAATTCTATTTATCTCCTAATGATAAACAAATGCAATGTTTATGTCATCGTAATTTAAAAGCAACTTTTCAAAATAAATCCAAAATTAAACGGAAACGTGAATAAACATTAAAAAAATATCATTTTCTTTCAATCAAGTCTGAACACATGATCCTTGTTAAATATTGAATCCTCTCACGAGAACAAGAAGAAAGAATAAGAAAAGGTTAAATTTAAGATATTTCTAAATCGATGATTATGTCATCGAAAATGCATTTTATTCTACTTTCATAGATTTAAAGTAAGTAACAGATTTATGATTAACCTTTTGAATAGATTATATCTGTCTTTTATTTCTTCAAGAGAATCAAGAGGCTAATAAATAATGATAGTAATGCAACAATGAAAGAAAGAAAAAATGTTTTTAGCAACAATTGCAACCGAAGATAATGAAATTCGTCATGAAAAGCAATCTATACAGACAGCAGCAAAAAAAAAAGAAAACAAACAGAGAAGGCTATCAGCACAAAACAAAAGAAGAAAAGAAAAAGAATATGAATTTTTTTTCTTACGAATAAATAATGAGGAAAATTTTAAATATGTATCTAAGCTTGTATGATGTGCATGAGCTGTATGACAGCATGTGTGCATAAAGTTCGTTTATGGTGAAACCATTTTTGCTGTTTCATTTGCTGATGACACTGTTGTCGTTGATGGTGATGAGAATGATGACGACGAGGTTGACACTGTTGATGATGCTTTAGGGGCTTGTTTCATTGTTGTCATTAAACGCATTTTTTTCACACTTGTTTTAGTACCATTTTTATTATCTTCAGATTTCATGTCTCTTAAACTGCTTAGACGTTGATTTATCATTTGAGGACCTGCACCAGGCCATTCACATCTTTGATAGGAATCATCAAATACTAAACCTGGTGGGCAACGCATTTCAAGGGCACATTGGCTGTCACATTTATAACTGAAACAAACAAATAAATAGTGAATATCAAAGAAAAACAAAATACATACAACCAGCCTGGTCGACCTGGAATAGCTTTCATCTGTTGAAGAATGTTAAGTCCAACCTCAAGACATAATGGACCACCGCGACATGGCGGTTCAGCACCTCCTTGTCCTATTAAAACAAAAGGAATAGTGATCATGTTTCACATTGTCAATTCTATATGTGTGCATACCTGGAACAATTTGAGCAGGCTGTTGGTGTTGTGGGAAAACAACAAGAGGTGTCGTATCGAATGATGGTAACGGTACGGATGGTTGATACATAACTAAGAAAAAAAAGATCATATTCGATAGAAAGCTTTCGCTTCTTTTAAAAGAAAAACTGTTTACCATTGACATTATTATCAAAAATTGGACCTTGTCCTTGAGAATTAATGATATTATATGGATTACATGCAACCTCAGATGGAAGTACACATGTACGTCGTTGTTGATCCCACCATAAACCAGCCAAACATTGCATTAAAATACCTAGTGATAATGAAAACAATGTTTTACAAATGATGTTTTGTTTTTCTTTTTGAAATCTTACCTGATGACATGCCATCGCCGCCGATATATGGATCGCATACATAATATTTTGAACAATCTTTTTGATCGGGTGCATAACCCATGGCAGCAAATGATGAACTACAACGAATGGATGATGGACTGACATACCATTCGTTTGATGCTTGACATGGTTGATAACCAAGTATAGATGAAGCAACTAAAAATAGAAACATGGATTATGATTAAATATTGTAAGAGGAAAAACAAAGTTAGTTCAATCTACCGGGTAGTTGTGGTTGTTGAGGCTGTTGAGGTATTTGTGGTTGCTGAGATTGTTGTGGAATGTTATTAAAATCCATAGACGGTGAAGGATAAAATCCTGGAGTCATAAAACCAGTAGGATCTGGTGTATAGCCCGAGTTAATAATAGCAACAGTTGGTACTTGAGCTGATGAGCAAGTAGCTTCAATAACTTCTTGTTGTGCGACATTACCAATCGGTTGGCGATCGCGCATAAGAATCGTCTTATGAGCTGGACAAGAATAAACACCTTGTAAATTACATGGCCAATCACAGAATACATTCTAGAAAGAAAAAAAATCAGTTTTGAATGATTTTATTTCAAAAAAAAATCAGTTTTTCTTTTTCTTTTATACTTACATCTGGTCGACCCGGTTCATTTTGATGACTCCACCATAATTGATAGCGATTAGGCATTGATGCACAAACGAATGATGATAATTCACCCGTTTCATAACAATAATGAAAAACATCACAATAATTTGGATTAGAATGAAATCCAGTTGTACCTATTGGGCATGTAAACGATGTTTGAAAGTCAACACCCAATGCAATATAACCATTCTCAAGCATTGTACTTGTCAATGAGAATTGTTTTCGTTTACTAATGCTAACTACTTTTGGTCGTAAGGTCATTGCAAGTAGACTTGTATTATAGGGTGATGATTGACGTGCACGTGGACATGTTGTACGTGATGTACATGAACGTCTTGACATATCGAACGCACCTAAATGCGCGCCTGGTAATGATGGAACACATTCGAAAACTTTAGCTTCACCATGTCCTTTAGGGCACCATGCAAACATGTTACAATATTGTGCAGTTACATCCGATACAGGAAAGAAACCTTCTTTACCACATGGTGAAACTGTTGGAGGCTTAAACATAACAGGTAAAATAACAAATTCTTGATTGTAGAGTAATGTTTGACATGAATAAGGAGAAAATCGTACACAACTCTTTGTATTTAGATCAAAGGTTGATACACCGTCGTTGACACCGTCTGTACCTGTTTGACGACATTGAAATGTACGTCGTGTGCGGCCCGAACAAGCATGAAATAGATTGCAAAACATTGGATCTGTATGAATACCATCAGTGATACATTCATAACCACTTGGATTGACACTTCGAATTTCGACAGCTTCAAAATAGGTTGTAGGTGTTGTTTGAGCAGCTAACTGTGCACGTGAATATGAATACCGACGTTCATGTGGACATGTGCTTGATTTTGTAAAGCTAACACAATCTTTTTCTTTCGTATCAAATTGCGATTCAATACAAAGAAATGAACCGATTAATTTTCCATTGATGCATTCATGAAAAACATTGCAAAATTTCGCATCGCCTAAACGAGCTTTAACACCTTGTAAATTAAATGGACATGTGAAATTCGATGGATTTGGAATATCGGAATACATAATCATTTGTTGTGTTTGTTGCATTGTATTTTCCATTCTACGATTAACAACTATTGAACAATCAGGTCGAAGTGTTTGATCTTTCTGTAAAACAACGTCAGCACTGCCATTTGTATTCTCTGTTGATAACCATACTGATTTATGACATTCAACTTTACATGGCCATTCACATCGAACTTTATAATCTAAACCACCAAAATAAAGTGGATTTGTTCCATTATAAACTGAATTTTGATGTCTCCACCAAAGATCATAATTAGCCAATGCTTGAGTGCCAGCTCCTGGACAACGTTCATCCATACGTTTTCCAGCAACGCAACGATAGAAAATATTACACCATTCAGATTCATAATAACCATCAGCACGATTTGCACATGAAAATGATGATTTCATTTCAGTTGTTTCGTTTGACCGACGTTGTTCATGATTATTAGTTGCTACTGTATCATTGGATGTTTCAAGCATTGTATACGAACGAAATGCTGCATTAGGATAATTACGTGTTGTTGGAGCGATTGTTGGACGAAAAAATTCATTTGTTGCACATTGACCTAAATTATCATTGGGTGAAATACAATTTCCTGTTGATGATTGAAATAGACCACCGTAAGTATGTGTTAAACGATCAACACAAGCATAGAGAATGAGTTCACCTTCTTTACAACCATAAAATAAGTTACAATAACGTTCATGTGAAATGATATAATTATCTGTTGAACGACATTTTGGAATTGGTTCAACACGTTCTTGAATTGGGATTGAACCATAATTATGATGCTGTTGTTGTTGTTGTTCAGGCATAATAAATGGTTGAAAAATTTCACTATTAGCTGTTGCTAATAGACGTCCATAGCTAAAAACACTTTTCGTTCGTGGACATAATGTTGGTAATGGTGCAGCACATTGACCATTGGGTTGATAGAAATAGGATGTCGGCTGATTATCTTCACCATTGGATATACAAGCAAATAAATGATAATTACCTTGTTTGCATACATGATATAAATTACAATATTGTTCGTGTTCAATAACATATTGTTGATCATATTTACATGGTAAAATTGATAGATCTGGTAAACGTCTATGATCGATCGATACTGAACGATACAATTGTGTATGACTCAAATTTAATATGGCATTTTGACAATTTGAATTTCGTCGTGAGTCACAACGTTCAGCAAATGGGTCATAGATACCTTCCTGTTGAGTTTGACGATCGAAACAACGGAATGTAGTTGGCGTTGTTTGTGTTCCATCACATAAATAATAAATATTACAAAATTGTCTCGATGTATGCAATTGAAAGCCAGAATTAGTTGAGCATTGTAATGAATCTGGATTACGATCAATTGGAACTGAATCATATGGAAAGATACCACCTAAACATGGAACTTGATCTTTTGGCATGCAGACACCTTGACTACGATCAAAGAAACTATCAACACATTCATAGGTTTGTAATGGTGCTAAGCCAGCATCCGAACATTCATAATAGACGTTACAATAACGTCGTGTTGGAAATTTACCAGCTTGTGTACAAATGAAATTTGGATCTGGATTTTCAATTAATTTTGACATTGCAAGACGTGTTGGCTCAGGTTCATGAGATATCGATGAATAAGCCATGGCTTGACCATTGAGGATACCTGTATTTGCATGTGCATGAAAATTAACTTGATAACCAGCACATTCGTTGCTGAATAATAAAGCATTTTCCGTTCGAACTTGTTGAGATGATGTTGATGTACCATAGACAGAGCCAGAACATTGAATTCGACCTGAAAATTCAATATACAAAATTCACTCATTCAATATTAGAGTATCTATGATACATACATGGCCAATCGCATTGTTGAGTTTGCTGATTCCACCAAAGATCGTATGGTGTATTGGTAGCACGAGGACAACGGAAATCTCGTCGACTACCGCTAACACAACGATGAAATATATTACAATAGCGGCTTGCAAGAAAAACACCATCGGCTTGTCCAATACAACTTACTTCTGAATCAACACTAAATGCTCCTGAAAAAAAAGCAAGCGATCAATATTTAGAAAATGCATAGAGCAATCTCTAAAAAAAACTTGTTTTCTTGTTTGTAAAATATCTTTCCCCTCTCTCTCTCGCGCACGCGAGCTCTCCCGCATCCTAATCTCAGTAAATTTACCATCCGATGTGGATGATGATCCACCTGCAGTGCTACCGATTCCAGCCCCCATTGCTACAGGACCGGAAAATTTAGTACCACTACCAGCACTTGAACTTGATGATCCACCAGTCATCGGTGGATTTGGTGCGAGAGAACCGCTGCTACTCGATCCACCTGAGCTCATGCTTGGAAAACTACCTGCTCCTCCTCCTGATCCTGTTCCTGTTCCTGTTCCCGATCCGCCAGCGGATGCTGTTGTGCAGAGTGATTGTGAAAAAACTGTTTCAGCTTCTTGTTGACTTTCACCAACTGTAGAACCTGAGTCAGCAATAATACCACCGGGACTTCCACATCGTCGACCAGTTTCACATGGCCATGTGCATGAAGCTGTTTCTTGTGCAATACTTTGCGGTGAACCATGTTGAACCCACCATAATCGAGCACCACTTGGCATTTTTGGACATAGAAAAGAAGTAGCTATACCCGTATAACATCGATAAAAGACATTGCACCAACGACTAGCATAGAAACCGTCTTGTTTTCCTATTCACAAGAAAATAAATAAAATATCAAATTATCAATAGAAGAAGAAAAATGTCTTTGCTCTTTTTGAATTTACCTGAACAACCAAATTGTTCACGTGATTGAATGAAAATTTTCCATGGTTCTGTTGGTGGCTCTAGACATAGATATTAATTTTAATTTTCAATATATCCAGTTGAAATGATTTATTTTACCTGTAACTAATTGTGATCCTGGTATAGATGGTATTGGTTCAATTGATGTATAATATTGATTTGATTGACAGCCACTTGGAGTTCGGCTAGTAAATTCACATCTATGAAAAACAAGACATACTGATGTATAGAATAAAATAGTTATAATTTAATTTTTACTTTTGTGATGCATCATCAAAATAAAATTTTTCTCCTATTTGATTACAACCATACGAACGTTTTTGTTCACCAGCAATACAAGCATGAAATATATCACAATAGCGTACATCACGCCAATGACCATCAATACGTCCCTTACAATCAAATGGTACATCAACAACAACTTTTTGATTATGCATTGGTGGTGGTAATAAAATAAAATTTGAATATTGTGCATTAAAATTATTCATGTTCATATTCATATTATTATTGTTATTATTGTTATTATTGTTGATATTGTTATTGTTATTATTGTTGATATTGTTATTAAATGATATTCTTCGTTCTTTTGAGTAAGTACTTTCCATACCGAATCCATTCATATTAGATTTTGGTCGTTCATTTTTAACATATGTTGATAAACGTTTACCTTGTGGTGTTAAAATTAAACGATTACCACAATCGATTAATTCTTCTGAACGACATGAACTAACACCTTCTTGATTCAATGAATCAAATACGGTTCCATCACGACACATATAAACTGACCCATGGCCGGATTGACAATGATAGAAAACATTGCAATAATTAACATCAGCAACAAGAACATTTGAAACATGTGATGGACAATCAGGACGTAATTCAGTGCCATATACCATAATATATGAAGAATTAACAAGTGTACCATTTGAAAAGCCTGCTGGACGACGAAGTAAACCTTTACCTAAAAATAAGGAATTTAATCAAGATAAATGTCAATCTTCCTCTCTCTTTTTTTCCTCGTTTTGTTTATATACATGTTCGATTATGCAATCAATATTTTAATCGAACTAAGTTAATGGCTGAGCTCATTCTTTTTGTCTTTATATTTCTTTCTTACCTCCACATACAACATTGATAGGATAATCGCAAATATTTGATTCGGGGTTAAATAATAATTGATTTTCACATAAATATTGTTCGTCTTCACCTTTGTTTGTACACTTATGATAAGCATTACAATAGAGACTATCAGGGTAAACACCTGATTTTGTACATTCTTCAATTATCAGACTATTTTCTGGTAAACGATAACTTGTGGCATCGTCATTATCATTGTAGATATTTTTTGCCATATTTGTTGAATCTTCCATTGTACGATAGAAAGCTTTACCTTGACAATCGTTTGGTTCAGGTCGTGCACAAAACATTTTTCCTGATGGACCAGATTTAAATATAGTCGGATATGGACACATGAATGGTTGATCAACTGTTTTTTCATTACGTGTAATACAAACATGAAATATATTGCAAATATTTGGATCACTATGGAAAATAATTATAAAAAAAAACATTGATTTCGAATCATTATCTATTTACCTAAATTTTCCTGGTTGACCTTGTTCACATTCGAAATCTTTACCACTTGTAGACGGAAGAAGTGAATCAGATATCATAATAGCAGCGCGACCGTTGCTTTCTTCAGTATTGCTACTATGTGTTTGTACCCATTGTACATAGGTTGATTCGCAACCTTCTTCTTCAATGTCTACAATATAGAAGATAATGTATTTTGTTTTAAAAACGTAAACTATGAAGAAATATTTTTCTTAGACAAACCTAAACAAGTTGCTCTAGTTTTAGAATAGACTTTTGCAATTGGACAGACATGAGATTCGACTACATAACATTCGGCAAGAGAACAATTGCATTTATGATAGACATTGCAAAATTTTTCGTCAGCATAATATGATATTGACGAGAATTGTGTTGTTCCACGTTCGGGACAACGAGTAAATGATGCTACTTCATCAGGCAAATAAATTGTTATTGCTGATAGAACACTTAGCAGACCTATATTATTAAATAAATATGCATACATAGATGTCTATCGATGTTGTATTAAAATATTCTTTAAGTTTACTTACCAATGATGAACTTCTGGTTCATGATAGAATCAATAGTATGTGTTTTATAAAGACCACGAAATAAAAGTGAGTGATAGTGAACTCAGCTGTCGCTCACTTTGCAAGTTAGTAAATTGTTGATTGTCACACAACTCTCAAGTCTCTCTCTATTTCTTTTTTTTCTTGCTCTCTCTCTCTCTCTCTCGTCGTCTCTCTCACTCTCTCTCTCTCTCAAACTGCTGTATCTCTAACGCCCACCTTTTAGTCGACCGAATTCCATTGGTAAAGTCACTTCTAATTCACTGTCAAATACCACCAAACAGTTGGCTCTCTCTCTTTCTCTTTCTCTCTCTCTCTCTCTTACTCACTTTTTCTTCATACAGCAAGAAGAGAAGGATTAAAGCGAGAGACAGAGAAATTAATTGGAGAGACATAAGAAAAGGAATTTCATGTTCTCGTTGAATCTCTTGTTCTCTCGTTTCGCTACTGCTTAAGTCGTTCGTTACTGACCTTCCGTACCATTGCTAGGTATTCTATGTTACATATATGGCGTACGTGACGCGCCATCGAGCAATTATACGCGACCGTTAGGATTTTGTTCGCTTTTTTCTTTCGTTTTTTTACGTGGCCGTTGATCTCCAATTACATCACGTTCTTTTCAGTAATACGGCGCCGCCGTTCTAATCCACTATTTTGAGCCCGTCACTTTTTCATCACTATTGATCAAATGTGTAACATACAAGACGTGTTTACGATGAACATCGATTTTTGTTACCTCTCCCGTTTCGTTTTTCAATTGTTATTCAGTATTTTTACAAATAATTAGTTGCTTTTCTTATTCTGTTCGTGATGTAAATATTGACGAGATCAATATCAGCATTACTTCTTCATACATATTCGTACTAGGATCGTACATCAATCAGTTCGATGTCTGAATTGTGTTTCGTTCTCTCTCTCTCTCTCTCTCTCATCAGTGTACAGGTTGGCAAGGTTTTTGTTGACTCAATTAATTAACCAGAAAGAAAAGACTTAAATCCACAACCAAACATAAGAAAACAGAGTCACTCATAAAATATATATTTAGAAAGATAACCTTGTAAATATACATTATCTCTCATTATTCATTATGTCTCAATGGTTGGGAGAGTAGAAAGAGAGATTATCATTTTTTTATCATTAATTGAATAAAATAGCAGAAGAGAATAGTTTCTTTCGAGGACATCTACTTAAAAGAAAAAGGCAATAAAATATGATAGTAATCAATCTTAGGTTTAATACGGATCAATATTTCTGTGACATTTCTTAAATTTCTATACCTGTATATATATATATACATAAATACTAGTCAATGTCATCGATTGCATATAAAACAAATGAAATGAAAACTTACCTGTTAAGAAAAACATTTGACAATATTTATTAATCATTGTCATTTAGTAAAAAGAAAAAATTAAAGTTCTTTTCTCTTTTCAATCTTTAATATTTTGTTCGATTTGGCTTGAATACGTATTGATATTGTCCTACTCTGAATGAGTAGGAGTGCTAGTGGTGAAAGTGATCGATAGAAAAACAAATTATGTATGTCTGCAGATTTGTATTTCTCCATCCATTAGTACGTTTTCTCTAAATCCTGACTATAGTTTACTTGATCCCTTCACCTCTTCTCCTATTGTTTAGTACAGTTCGTCTTTTTTATTATTATTATACATTTATCTCGCCGTCTGAATCTTCATAATCATTACTATCATCTTAGGTCTTCTTCTTCTATTGTATTGTATATTCTCGATAATTGAATCGTATGGTTCTTAAGCTGACGCAACCGAATATATTCTACATTGATTAAACTACGATATTTGTACAAGATCAGATTTTTACACATGTAACAATAGAGAAATGTAAGCTGCTCAGGTGGGCTCAGTGGTTCACTCCGTATGCATGTACCTATTAAAGTCAAATTCATTCTGTTCGTAAGAGACGCATAAGCTTCTACATTGGTCATATGAGAATAATACTTGAATGATGACTAATCCGGTTCAAAAAAAACGGTCTACTGCCTTTTGACATATATGTCTCAAGTCCCATTCACATCAGCTATAAGTATAACTAAGCACATAGATCAGTATGTGATAGTTGAGCTATATAATATGCATGATGTAAACAGCTCTATTTCATCTATTAGTGAAAATAAAATAAAACGAACGTGACTTTCTCATCGTTTAATAAACATGTATGATTTGGGCACTTGTCTATATTGAGTAACTTACTTTTAAAGTGGATGAAATCGAATCCTAAGATATGGCACAAAACAAAAATAAATAGTTCAATGGAAAAATGTTTAGCGAAATAATGAAAAAACAATCAATAACTAGTGTCTTTTGAATTAATCGATTTCGGCACAATATGAAACTCATTAACACATCAATATTCTAAATGAATTTCAGTGTGTGTCAAAAATCAATAACTCAATCGGAATATTCAAAGATTTCTTTTTCGTCTAGATAAAAATGCTTTTTTCCCTCTTGTATACATTTTCGATAAATCGAATATACTAATGAATCAGAATAAAACACAAACGATATATAAGCGCCCATTAATTTCTCACATAAGCAAACATACTCAAAATATAAGAGCTCTTCGTTTAGTACAATTTTGATAGGCAAGCATTTATCTGTTGTGAAGATCAGTGTGTATTTATGAATTGGTTCGATTTAACAAAAGATCAGTTCTTGTTACGCTTCATATCTTTTTTCTCAGCTAGTCGTTTTTTCTCACCTTGAGCTTATTATAATGTCATATCCACGTATTCATATATAAATAGTCAATTGCGTAACATAAACAAAGTTCTGATGGTATTTGTTCTTTTATTGTTACTTAATTTATAAGATGACATACACTTTTTTTTCAGTGTGGCGTAATATCAATTCAACCATTATTATTAGTTTGTTACAGTACGTGTTCATCCTTTCATTCAATACCCTTTACATACGAGTTTAAAACAAATATCTCCTAGATATAAAACGAATTCTTCAATAATTCGTTATTTTTCACTGGTAACCGTTAAAAGAAAAATGAAGATATAACAAAAATAGCTCTAGAACGATAGTTTCAGATGTTTAACGAAATCAAATATCTGTCATTCATTTACTCGAATAAATAGAATATTTGATTTTGTTTACTTAAGAAATGACAAAGAATGTTTTATCTTACTCCTCATCTTCATTCTTTCGATGCATGTAACGAAGAAAGAAACATTTTTGTTTATTCATTTAGCTTAAGCCATCTCGTTAAAAACAAAAAAACGTTTTTCGTGGATGATAGAATTTCAAATATGCACCATGTTTTGACATGGATAAAGTTTATCGATGAAACCATCGCGAACGACATTAATCACAATGACAGTCTCATTGTAAATTAATCTATTTTTCGTGACTTAACAAAAAGGACTAGTCGAATGCATGCCAGAATTTTATAACAAAAATATTCGTGTATTCCTGTTTTTGAAAAATATGAAATGAGAAATTTCATACTTAGAAGACACAACTAATTCAAAAGACGAAATTTCCAAAATAATAATTAAATAGTATATGTCAAAATAACTCACAAAGAAATAACTAAAGAAACATGCAATTCGTTTTTTTGTTGACGCCAGGTGCGCTTTAATGTTTTCGACACGCGTGATATGCTCTTCAATATGTCAGGCTTTTCTTCTCACCTGAGATATGATGGTCTGATAGAGAACACATCGTTATTATTATTTCAAACCAAACTTCAGTTCATTTGCCAGTGTATTCATTATCATAAATATGGATTTTGTCCGCATCCCGCATCATAGACCTGCACATCAACCGATACCACCATTGCATCGAGTAGATGCTCGCATTCCATCTAATCCTCATCATGGGTTTGCTCGTAACCCACCTAAGCCTCCTCTTTCGGCTGTTCCAAAAACTATACCGATTCTTCAACCACCTGCATATTCGTCACGGTTTACTCCTGTTTATGAAAAAGAAAATCAAAATCAACGAACACTCAGAAACAATGATCAAAATACAAAGGTAAAACGGAAAATAACAATTGAAATTCCAGTTCTTACGCCACGACAGAATTATCCGAGACAACCATTGCCAGCTCGGTCTGTGGTACCCGTTCGATACGCTGAACGAAAGTATCGACCAGAATTATATTTCAATCATTATGCTATTGGTTTTAATGCGAACAATTTGATCACTACTTATTGATAATATAAAGAAAGAAAATGTTTTCTTGCTTTTATTCTATTTATTTGTACATATTTTGATCAAAATATCTCATATTTATAAAATATAATCAATTGAAAATCAATTTCAATACATATTAGAATGTGCTTAATTAATAGTGAGTGACAAGGTCTTTCCTTGTCTGCGTCGTATTCGTTTTCATCACAGATCAGTATAGTCGATGTGCCTTCTTTCCACTGCATTAATAAAAAACGAAATAGTTTAAAACACCTACAGTCATGTGTTTTGTATCCTTTCTGTTGCCAGCATTGAATTTTTGTTATTGTAATTTAGTCAGCGATGACAAAAATAAATGAAATAGGTTAATTATCTTCGTCCTATTGACCTGCTATCAAAAGTGACAATGATTGTAAAAAAAAAGAAAACTAACTCGTAGAAACGTAAGTTTTCATCTGCTGTTCAAGAAAGTGAAAGTACTCAATGATTAAACAAAAAACTCTTTCGATAGAAAGATAGTTTATTTGTGATCTGTTTCAATCTCTCAAAATGCTCAGTAAAAGTACTTTTGTTTTAGTAAGTGGCTAAATGTTTTTCTATGAATCGTATCTAACATTCAATAAACAAATGAAACAAACTGCGCTGCTACTAAATATTTATCCAAGTACAAGGGCTGACTCTAGCAAACTATGAATTTCATTAGACACAGTTGAAACGTGTACGATCTCACAGTATTATTGCTGTTCGTTTGCAGTCTTCATAGAATAGTATCATAAAATATCGCAGTTTTTTTTATAGCACGTCCAAGAATGAGAAAAATATCGGATACTTCTAATTTGAAGGCTTTAAAGTGTTATTCAATAAATATTTTAAAGATAATTATAGAATAGTACACTGATTTAGTTAGTTGGTCTCACCAAATATTCAGTACGCTTATTTCACACTAGAAAAAAATGGAACTTTATAACATTTTTTCTATTGAAACTAATTCAGTAAAACGTTTGCGCTCTAGGAGATAGTTATCTTTATAATATTCTTGTTACGAGAATAGAATTATTGTGACGTTGGAATCATATTTTTTTATCAGAAGCATGTCACACTAAGAAATCTTTACGGAAGCATCGATTTATAATAACGGCAGAGTGAGATATGTATCATAGAGTATTTGCTGCAAGATAATTATTTTTTGGCAAAAGCCAGCAAGGTTAGACATATTATTTGAAAATAATTCCTTTCAGGGCTATAATTGTATAAAAAGTAGTTTCAATAAAAATTCTAATATTTTGATGTACTATGTCTAACAATATGAGCCATACTAGCTTTGCTTTTGTTGAGGTCCTGTAGTTTACATAGTAGAATTTATTTATTTAAAAAAATGGATGCTTCATTGCCAGATCAATTCATAAGACCCACTCAAACAAAGTTTTTTGTTTATAGTCTAGGTGTTAACAGATATGTTTCTCATGTAAATCATTGTTTACATCAATTAGATCATTATTCAGAATGAAGATGAAAAAAATACTTAGCAAATTTTCATTTCTTATTTTATTGTAAGAATAAACCAACTGATAGAAATTTTCATTGCGAATCAATACACTTGTTCTACTTTATTAACTGATGAAAAGATAGATTTGTTCTTTTTTTTTTCGAGTAATAATAATAATAGTAATATAAAATTTCTAATAAAATGCAAACCAGAAGAAAAACAAACTCTTTAAGATAATCTATGGCAAATATTCAATAACTGTTTATTTTTGTGTTTTGTTTTAAGTTGTTGGAAAAAATAATTTTTTTGAAAGTGCCCATTGTGAAAGAAGAAACTGTTGGAACAAATCCATATTGTCACATTTCATATGTTGTCTGTCATTAAATAGTATACTGGGAGGAGCATCATTCTTGCATGATAATGATGCTTCTCCTAATGAGCTGTTACTGCTTGTTATTGACTGACCATGAATGCGTTGACTAGATACGGCTGCTGCTGCTGCTGTTGTTGATGATGACGATGGGAGAGAAAAACGTTGTTGATGACATGGCCGACCATTCCGAATAAGTACTGGAACCGCCACACGTCGAGGAGCAGACATTGCTGTATCGATTAAATCTTTTATTGGAATAAAATAAATGAAAATAGAAATAAATAAAATTATAATCATACTTTTGTCAGGACGTGAACGTTTCATTTTATAGCGATCTAGAGAAAATTTTTAGATTAGTATCTTTGTTTTTCGATGAAAAATAAATTGTACTTACGATTTTGAAACCAAATTTTTACTTGAGTAGCTGATAAATTTATTGCACTAGCTAGATGTTCTCGTTCTGGTGCTACAAGAAAATAAACATGATCAGAAAAAATAAATAGAAGCTTCTCTCTACCAGATAAATAGCGTTGTTGGCGAAAACGTCTTTCAAGTTCAAATGTTTGTTGTTTAGTAAATAGCACTCGTCGTTTTCGTCTTTTTGATGTTTCATGATGATGACTATGGTCTTGTTGAAGATATTTTGATGTTTCACTATCTTCAGATGTTGCACTAGTATCCAGAGGATTTCTACTAACTATTGGTTGTTCATCATCGTCATCATCATCGTCATTTGATGAATCATAAAAAGACGATGAAGCAGATGAATGATTATCATCTTCTAAACAAAAAAAGAGAAGTAAAAGAAAAAAAAGCTTTTTTCAAGTTCTATTTTATATTCTTACCAACATCATCTGATGTAGTTATATTTAATGTATTGGACGACGTTGTTGCTATTGGTGCAGATGATATATCTTTTTTATTATCATCATGTGAAAGTAAATATTGTACAGAGAAATTCTTCATTTTAATATATATATACAAATTAATCGACGTTTTGATTAACACATAAAGATGAAATTAAAAAAATAATCGTATGCCGGAAAACAGGCTAAATATTCTACTCTTCTTCTCCTTCTTCTTCTCCGCTGTGTCTCTCGTTTCCACTCACGCGTTTTCTCTTAAATAGACCAATGAAAAAGGAAAAGATCGACTCAATGCCCAATAGGGATTCATGATAAGCAAAAGAATATATTCCACTTAGAAGAAAATGGAGAGACTAATCGACATACATTGAGGAAGTGATGACATCGAGCGTAATTCGAATATCCGTTACTTGTATATGTCTATGTATTTTTTTTCTCTTCACTCTCTTTTGAGAAAGAGAAACATTGAAAAGCGAATGCGTTGTTCTTCCAGAATGATGAAGAGGGAAAAGAAGAATAACATCTGCGACTACTTTTCGTGCCTGAATTATTCTAGTGAGCGGCTTTTAAAATCAAATGCAACAACTTTTCATACGGAAGTTAACCTATACTAGTTTCCGTGACAAACGTGTGTGCAATAATATACCAGCACTATCACAAATGAAGTGGAAATACAAGGAAAACATGTCTATATGTGTGTAGTATGCATGTTACTGCTTGAGGCTCACTCTCTATTGACTTCCTGTGTGATGAATACACTACTTTCTACTAGTGCTAATCTGATTCGTCTATTTAAACGATTCAATTGCTCTCTCGTGCGAGAGCGAGCATGTTCATGCTGGAAACCGGATGCAAGTTGAAAGCTAACTTAACATTTATTATAAAAACACACATATTCAATGTAGTCGATTACAAGTTGACTTGTTACTGTGTTATTGTTTTTATATCTCAAGTTTTTAATTGCTACTAAAAGAAAAAAACATGAAGAGGGAACCAAAAAAGGTTTCTTTTTTTTTAATTGTTCGAAAAATTGAAGTTACGAATAATAGAAATAAAAACGTTGCATTTCGGAAAAATCTTTATCTCGAGTTTCATATTTATATTGATGAAAATAGATCGTATATTATTTTTATTATAATATTAGAAGCTTGTCATTGTGTTTTTTATTTTTATACGTTACAAATTTTTGCAAATAGCATTAATTTTATATGATATTTGACTTTTAACTCGTGATCATCTGCACACTGCAGCATATATATATATATATATATATATTGAGTGCTATCAATATTGAATTATCATAGAATTTTTATTATAGCTGGCTAGAAAAACTTGCATAAAAAATGATGAGATTTTTTGATTGGTGAAAATAGTATGCGATAATCATGCAACAAAGGATATGCAGATTTCAAAATTGACTTCAAACAAAATCAATTAAACATATACACCATTAATTGCGTTGACAATCTTCACATTAAAATTTTAAAAGATGTTACTATAGATATTTCCATATTCTTTTACTCATTGATGCGAGTAGAATAAATAGTTTTATATTATTCTTAAGAATATTTCCAATTATAGAGATTATCACAATCACATTAGCTCTAAAAATCTTCCCAATATTTAAATCTTGGTAGGAGAAGCGATATTGATACAATGTTTTATTTTTCTTAAACAGGCATAATGAGCCATCACTAACGCAGATGCTACTTCTTGTAAAAAAACATATGTAGAAAGAAAATGTATTCAAAAAATTTCTATTGTTATTCTGCTATCCAGCCAATGACTCATGTTGTGCTGTTCAATGGGGATTCTAGATGAGAGAAAAATGTTAGATTTTGTTCATATTGTTTTTTTTTGCATTATTCGGACAAGAAACATAAAACTTTCTCATTGATTGAAACGAGATGGTAACAAGAGAAAGGTGATTGTCGAAGCATCACTCTCTAGTGTGTTTACATTAGTGCAGGATAAAACATCTCTTATAACTAGAGTTTATTCTTATATTTATTTACTTAAAGTATTAGCTTACTATTGTAAAGAATAGTAGCAATTGATTTTTATCTACGATTATATGTGACATCGTATGTTACGTTTCTCTTCATGACTTTTCTCTTGCATATAATATCAAAACGTAATAAGTATAAATTTTTGCTGAAACAAGTTCAAACCAAGCAGATAATATACAAATGTTTTCAAAAGTGAAAAAGATCGCGTTTTCTCATAGAAACAAACTTTTCAAAAGTATGTCCAATACTAGCAGAATGACTGACGCTACCATTTTGTTCAGCTATAGTTTACTTTTCCTATATGTGGCGGCATCCTTAGAAGTGCATCTGATGAGGCCGCTCGTTATTGATTATTAGATCTACCTAACATTGTTGTTTGTTTATTGGCGTAGAATGAAGGAAACATCGACTTGTATATAGAGATAGATAGAGATAGAGATATACGTCGAATATCATACTACAATCATTTATAAGTCACCGGATTGATAATATATATTAAAAAACGAAACACAACGTGTTGGAATGATGAAAATGTCGTTGTTATCAACATGTTACCATTAAGAAAAAAACAAAATTCTTTTTCTGTATGGTACATTTTATTTCTATTAATCTTATTCAATCTAATCTCTTCTATTTAATAGTAGTGCATGGTAATAAAATCCCTGCAAGATATAGCCAACACTAGGAGTCTCAATAGTGGGTAGATAATTGAATTTTATTTTCACACGTTTTGCTTTATCAATTGTTGATGCTTTAAAGCATATTTTTTTTTATAGTGTCTACGTGATTTAATAATCGAAGGAGTGTCTTCTTTTCTGACAAAGTCGTGACTCAACAAAGTATTTTGATAAATAGAAGACATTATTCGCTCGCTAAAGAATGCTTTTTACGAGTACGAAAATAGAAATCCCTAGACGTATATAATACGTACAAGTGTAAACTAGATGATTTTTTTTCTCTAGTAATTTTCTAGGGGTTGGTGAATCTTGATGGTGTCTCTCATCGATCGATAGAGCCTATCGATTTGAACATAGTACAATCAATATGGATTTCTATTAACTGTATTTGAAATTCGATATTGATCTTGTACACGAAAATCCTAATACAGATTAGAATATTGTATCAAAGGAAGACTTTGATTATGATATATTTTATCCTATTAGGTTTGAATGGTTACTGTTTTTCTTTTTATATAAATAGTTTTAAGTTAATATAGTGAGAAAATTGTGAACAATTAACGGTATTTAAATTTCATTTGCCATTTTGTAGAATTTCTCTTCAGTGAAACTTGAAAGATTTCTTCGCATTGTTCTTTTTTGACTGACGTCTATTCTTGCAACGATATAATCTAATGAATTTTTCTCGAACAAAGCTTGAATCATTTAAAAGAAAACTTTTACTTTTCAGATAGGAACTTAGAGAAGCCAGAAGGTAAATATACAATACGATAAAAATATCTATTATGCAGTACGTGCCATTGAGATCCAACTATAGAATAGGCACTCGACAAAGTGAATTAGCACTCGTTCAAACTGACAGGTAAATGTGATAGGTTTTTTTGTGTTTTTTGATTCTATGGTTGGACTATTTTTTTATTCTAGTGTTATTGAACAACTTCATAAATTCTATCCAAGTATTCAATATGAAGTCATTAAAATCAAAACAATCGGAGATAAAAATCTATTAGATCCACTCGCACATATTGGTGATAAGGGTTTATTTACAAAAGAACTTGAAGTTGAACTTAACAAAAACACTATTGACTTTGTTGTTCATTCATTGAAAGATGTTCCATCAACTGTTTTACCACCGAATATGGTGATCGGTGCAATACTTGAGCGCGCCGACCCACGCGATGCTGTTGTTATTGCACCATGGCACAATAAAACATCTTTAAATGAACTACCACATGGCAGCGTTATTGGCACGAGTTCAACACGTCGTATTGCACAATTGAAATTAAATTATCCGCAATTTGAGTATAAAAATATACGTGGAAATATGAATACGCGCTGGGAAAAATTAAATAACCGAGAACTTGGATATGATGCTATGATTGCAGCTGTTGCCGGTTTACAACGTTTAAAATGGACGAATAGAATAAGTGAAATAATTGAACCTGACCGAGTTCTTTATGCTATTGGACAAGGAGCTTTAGGAATTGAATGTCGACACAATGATACTGATACGATTCGCATGTTATCAGTACTCAATCATGAGCCAACAGTTGTTTGTTGTGTTGCAGAACGAGCTTTTCTCAAACGAAGTAGGTTTCATTGAATCAAAATAATAAATTAAAGAAGTCCCCTCACCCAGCAAAGAACATTCTTTAAGAACTTTTTCTCCTAAAGACTAATTGTCTGACTTTTATATTCATGTATTGCATTTTATTTCTAGTTGGTGGTGGTTGCAGTATACCTAATGCTGTATGCACAGTATACAATGAAAAAGAATTAAAAATTGATGGTGTTTTACTGAATCTTGATGGTTCACGTTTTGTTAAAGATCGTGTTGAAAATCTTGACCTAACTAAACCAATGGTAATAACAAAAGGTGGTTCATCATTATTTGTTTCAAGTACGGACAATGATTTTTTATCACTGGATGACGATACACCACCAATAGATGGATCTTCAAATCCAATGAATTCCAACCAATCACACAATAAATCAGATATAGATTCTATACGTATTTTCAATCCTTCATCTTCTATTCCACTATCCGTCACATCGACAGAAACCACAACAACAGAAGTTGCACCATTACTGCGTCATTACGCTCATGTATGTGGTGTGAATATAAATGAAACAATATTAGAAAATGCAGAATTATGTGGAACAAATCTTGCTGTTAAACTCATGCAAATGGGCGCTGATAGTATATTAGAAGAAATTCAGCAACGAGTGACTACTATTTCCAGTTAGTAGAACTTGAGTATCAATGGTCTCTATTATTTTTTCCGTATCTCTATTAGTGTTGTTGCATTTTTTTTCCTTTGGTATTTTTTACTTGTTTTTGCTTTTGTGATTTAAATTTTAGTTTCTAGTTTTTGCTTTTGTGATTTAAATTTTAGTTTCTAGTTTTTGAGCTTCACACGATATTCGTGTGAGAAATTAAAAAACCAGCGAAATCATTTTTGATTTGTAATAGGCATGCAACAACGATCCAGTCATGTTGGTTTCAATGATATTTGTTTTATCATAGTGGAGAAAATTGTTTCATTGAGTACATTTTATCTGATTGTGTTCGAATATTCTGAATAACTTTCGAATTATTCCAAAGATTTGACATTTAATGAAATCACTTGATTTCTATTAAATGTAACTCATGTGATAAGAATATATTTAACTACATGAGTGTATATCGGATAATAAATATTTTTTCATATCCACTAATTTGATTGATGTTTCCTACGATGATCTATTCAAATTTTTTTTCAATGTAGAGAAAATCTTATATTTCATGCTACAATTTATTTAATAGCATTCAGGTTTGATTTAGAAATGATTTAGTGAGAAGTTTGTCATGGCAATAGACAATGACAAGAAGAGAATCATCTATCGAAGTTATACGAATATGAGAACCGTTTTTGTAAAGTTTTTTTCATTGAATTTACATTAATTTCAATTCTATTCTGTCATGAGTATTATGAAACAATGATTCGAAAGTATAAGTAATAAAGGTATCGTTCTTATTTTCTCACAAAGGATCAGTGTGTTGAACGTTGAGAATATTGAATGCCTCTATTCGAAAATAGAATAACTCGTCAGTCGAATTTGATGTCTCGTTGGAAAAATCTTTTCATATTTTTTAGCTATTTTAGTGCAATTAATCGTTCAATCAAAAATATTTCATACATATCGTTTTGTATCTCTCTATCGATCGAGAAAGATTCATAGTTGACTTGGCTTTATATGAGTCTTGGAAATTTCGTTCAAGATTTTTCTTCTTTTTATTTTATTGATGTCAAATATCAACTGGTAGTTAAATAAACCAGTTCAAAAAACAAAACAGCATATATGATTTATGAAATTCTATGCTTGTTGTTTGTTTTTCTTCATGAATTCCAATAATTGATCATGAGCTTGTGTTTCATCACCGAAATCACGAACAACACAGCAACTGCAACGAACAACTTTTCGTGCTTTGCCATCTTTGTCTAGTTTGCATAAACCAGCCCATTCACCTAATTTTTTATTGTCGTCAACACGCAACAAATTGATATTATGTTCAGCACATAATGCTTCAATTAATTTAACATAGTTCGGTTCGTCACAATTTGACGCTAATACACAAAGATGAGCTTCACGTCGATCTAAAGCTTTGACCGATTCTTAAAAGCAGAAACAACATTTTTATGTAACGAACAGGAAAAATAATTTTCTATACCTCGTAAACCTCGTGCAAGACCATCATTGCGTGCAGCTGATTTAAGTACTTCTTGTAACGACTTGTTCAAGTCGACTTCATCCGAGGCGCGTGGCGTCTCGTCCATCTCGGTGTCCGACATGATGATATTGATGACGTTTAAAAATCTAGAAAAATAAAATAAATTTTTTATTATTCATCACCATCCCAATGCATATCAGTAAATTGTCGTGGTCGTAAACGTGAATTACGTATAAATGTTTTTTGACTATCACAACCAAATTTATTATCTTGTTCTTTAGATTTAATTTCATTTGTTGGTGAACTTGAAAATAAAATAAAAATGTCATTTAAATGACGATTTTTGGTATCATGTTCTTCATTTAAATGTTGTAAACGTTGTTCGATATTAGGAAATACTTTTGCGCATGATTCAATCAGACAACGATATGATCGAACTTTGGAATAACTATTATGTGCTTCATCCATATGAATATCCATAAGAAAATAACTAGGAAATATATGTAAACATTGTGAACATAAATGTTGATGGTGAATGTGATTATGAAATTCAAAATCAACTTGAGAATGGGTATTAAATGTACAAAAAGGACATGAAAATAGATCGTCAAACAAAGTAGACGAACTATTAATAGTAGAATTGTCTGACCGAAATCGTTTTGATGTATTATTATTATCGATGTCCATGAAGCAAAAAATGAAAATAATACACAGCGAATCTGTATAGGTGTAGATGGACGAATTCCAATAATTATGAATTCCTCTTCGAAATACATTGTATAAGTAAACATAAAATCTGACGTTTTATTTCGAGCTCATTTATCAAAATATCCATTAAATGTTACAATATTGTTAGCATAAACGAAAATTTTCATTTCATTGAAATGACTTTCCTATATAGAGGTCGCTACTTCACAAATCATTTCAATTTTTATTAATATCGGATTGATTTAAGCAAATATTTCCGCTTAATTAAAAATACAATTTGTAGTAATATCATGAATGAAAGGATAAATTTTCAGATGCAGATAGCTTTATTTTGAAAAAGAATTGTTTGACAAAAAACTTTTGTTTATTAAGAAACTACGTCACAATTTTATTATATTCAAGAGAAAAAAGTCTATCAAATGTTCAGAATTCATTAATAATAATTTTCATTTCTTGTTTTTGTTATATTGATCAATAAGACGAACACATACTTGTAACATAGCTTTTTCGCTTGCGGATACCACATGTTTATGACTATGAAATTAAAAGAAAAAGAAAGCTTTCATCGATGATAAGCAAAATTATTACTTTGAAATTGTATGTTTATAAGAATCAATTGCTGAATCAAGTTCAGTAATTAATTTTGAATATGTTTGTAAGTCCATCGTATTCATTTCTGCTAGCTCATTTGCTTCAATCAATTCAATAATACGATCACATGTTTGATTCCAATTTTCTATAAATATACAACAAACTATTTCTTGTCTTATTTCATTTAAAACATGAGTACTTACCTTTATTTTCATCTGATACATCGTTCACTACTGATTGAATATTGAGTCGATCGAGTTTATTCGAAAGACAAACATCAAGGGTTTGCTGTTTTTGATCGTAATCATTAAATAAACGAACAATTTTCTTTAGTGTATCACCCTAGTAAACAAAAAAGTTCGATTTCATAAACAATCAATAGGAAAAAAGAGTTGAACTTTTTACTAATGTTTTAATAATATTTCCAACAATTTTATCTACAACAGATTTTTTTCTTGTTTCTTGTAAACTATTAATATCATTAATTATTCGATATGCAGCACGATGTAATTTACCAAAACGAGCCTAAACAGATCTTGAAGTACTCGTTTTCTTTTTGAACTATTATTTCTTACTGTTTGCATTTGTCGGTTGGATAGCACGATTTCATTAAATAACTGATTGGTAAATGCTATTTGTAGAAGTTCATTTTGAGCAAGAATAAGTTCACGTCGATCACGTTCATCAACCAGATCATCACCATTCTAAAAATGTTTATAGAATAAATTTAATACGTTCATTGGCTTAAATCATAAATAAGAAACTTTTTTCCAAGCACCGCTAATACGTGATGAAGCAAAAGGTTTTGCTGGTGATGTATGTTGTAGATCTTCTCGAACAGCTAAAAAATAAAGTACGTCTACAATAGAAAAAAAATGTTCGAAAGTTTTAGTCCTACCAGCTAATTCAGCAGGTTTCTTAACAAAGCCAAATCGAGATTTTTGTGCTCGAGGAACAACATTGACAAGATCTTGTTCGCTAATAGACTTGAAAAAATAGACACAAAATAAATTTGTGTCCATTTGAATTATTGTTAATAACAAACTTTTTTCATTTGTGAAACAACAGGAGCAGCAGCAGCGATCGCTACAGTAGATGATCTCGGTATGTTGTATGCAGCTTAAATAGAAAAATGTTAATACAATCCAGGCGAAAAGAAAAAAAAACTAACATTGCGATTTAACCATAGTTGAAGCTCTTGCTTTTGATACCGGTGTATTATTTGCCAATCGTTTCACCGGTACAACTTGTGTTGGTTGTTGAACGACACCAGAGCGAGTTGGAATACTGAATAAACATGGGTTAAAATGAAGTTTTCAGTATACATAATCGAATTCTTACCGAGGTGGTTTAGCACCTTGGAATTTCTGACTAGCATGCATGATATTTGGATAAGAATATTATTAGATTGAAAAAGATTTGATTTCGATCCAACAAAGAACAACTGTGCAATAGAAAGTGAGAGAAAAGAATGGCACACGATTAGTTCGTTCAGTGACTTATGAATCATCGCTTTCGTTTCTAGACGAAGAGATAAAAGGAGAAAGGAACGAACGAACGAACCAACGAAGACGAGCTAGTTTTCCTTTTTCTTCTGATTCGATTAGAGAACTTCACCAAATTTTAGTTTCAATTATACTCTAGTGGAAAACTCCCACAGAATAAGAGATCGAGTTGAGAATTGTTTGTAGTTATTGAATTCTTCATACAGCTATCGATTGTGAGAATCCTACGATAGCATTTCATCGGCCTTTTCTCTAATAGTCTAGAAGGTTTTTATCCGTAATGATTTTTCAACTTCTCACTGAATTTGTCGACAGCACATACATAGAGATCATCTTAGGTCGAGACTCTTTGCAGCATTTTTCGACGGTATGCCACTTGTTATTGCATGCTTCTATCAACGTCACAAACCATATTGTAGTAAAACGTAAATAACTGAAGTTACTGAATTATGTACACAACAATAGATATATTTTTAAAGAAAAATAATCAAGTTTTGGTCTATAAGTGTATTAGAGACAGGTTAGAGTCAATATTTAGATGAACTAGTAAAGCGAGAACGAAAGAAAAAAATTCATTAAGAATGATATAGGATTTATATGCAGTCTAATACAGACTACAGATTTACATTTCAGCACTCGTGGCTATATAAAAAAGAAGCAGTCATCCATTTCAAGTACAGATAGTTATGATAAATCATAGTTATTTTTCTTTCTATCATGAACGAAAATATTTAGATTTAAAATCTATTTAGAAGATAAAAATAGTTGATGTTTGTCTAGTTACTTCGTTTGAATTTTGATTTACTAGAAGTCAGTTTGTCTATCATCGAAGGATCAGAAGCACTTCGTGTATTGATTCAATTGAAGGCTTCTGTTTTAATAATTTGCTACCAGTCGGCTAATATTACAATATTCTCATGGTAAGTTTCTAACCTACCAATTACATGTTGTTGTTCATCTGCAAAGGCATGTGTGCTTCTATGTAGTGGGCAACCAAACAAGCGCCGTCACATGCTGCATTTTATCATTAGTGTAAGTATTGTGAAAGAAAGAAAAAATTCGAAGTACGCTTCTGTTTTCTCTTATCGATTTTATTATTAAAATAACAAAAGCGAATCTAGCGGTCGTTTTTTTTAGTTTCAATAAGTGAAAATAAAAGTAAGGCACTTTCATCTTCGAATTATCAAAATAGGTAAGAACTAAATATTTGAGATTCTACATGGGTTTGTGTTTTAAGTGTAGAGTACTGCTTTTAATTTGTAAATTTCGTAAGAAAATAAGTTCTGTTGCGATCATTAATGCATTTTTTTTTCTTGACATTATTTATCGATTGGTAAGCAAATCAATTAACATATCATGGATTATAGAGTTATTTTGAGCTGTAATTTATAATATGACTAGAACTGTATTGTGCTATGTCTTTAGCAATGACAAGAACATCAAATACATGCTCCGTATGTCAAAAAGAACTTGGAACAAGTTTTTGTACGGGATGTGGAGTCTATTTTTGTACGAAAGATTTCAAAAGTCATCGAAAGATGTTGTTTAGTGAAATGGATGCAGTTATTGAAGATCGTAACGAGCTTCAGGAAAAAATACATAAAGCAGTTCAACATGCAGATCCATACAATCCACTTTTTGAACAAATCGATCAATGGCAGAGAACGATGATTGAGAAAATTTGTCGAGTATCTGAACATTGCCGTGAACAAGTTTCTCAATTATTAAATTCGAAACGAGTCAAACTAACTAATGATTTCAAGAGATTCTCACAAGACTTGATTCATTTAAAGCAAACAGAGAATTATGTGGAACCTGATATCACACGTTTGAAATATTTAATGCATCAGTTTAATCACGAATTGAAACAATTGTTGAAACCGGTATCGATTGAATTGCATACGGAACCAAGCGATCGGATTATTTGGAGTCAACTTCTTTATGTGGAAGAAAAATCTACTTATGCTGGAATCAACCAGCGACAACAACAAGAAAGAGGTATGATGATCAACGAATTATTGAACGAATGTTTTCAATATTTGATCAAATCTAAGATTTTGGATTTGTGAACTCGTCGCAAAAGCATCTTTAAGTGTCAATCTATCCAAGTATAAACCAAAAGGGATTTTTCTACTGAATTTCATAAGACTTCAGAACACCTGAATCTATTGACTAAATGATTAATCCTAATGATGATCGATACCAGCCCAGATCTATATTCATGTACTCATTAGTCTCCTTTTTCTATGCAAAAATTTCTTCAATTAGTTGAGAGAATTTTCTCTGATTAGTCGATCAGAAAAACTTTTGTGTGCCTAATTAGTAGTTTAAATCAGTGATCTTCTTCATTTAGAAGACGATCGAGCTGGCGCAATGTCTCCTCGAAAACAACCACCTGATTGTTATTCATCGCCGATAAGATCTCTCATCTATATATCAACTGAAGATCTTGCTTTTTGAATAGCTAAATAAATCAATAAAACTCTTGTTTTAATCATTCTCTTACGACGAAAACTTTCGTAAGAGAATCAACTCAAACTATTTGCCTTCTGATCAATGAAATAATCGAAAATAATTTTGGCGGTCGACCATGCCGTAAATGTAACAGCAATTCATATATTGCAAGTCATGCTTGTCGAACTATTTTACGCAACACGCATGATTCATAGTAACCAAAATTGTCGAAGAAAACTTTGGGAAATGTCGTTTAGTTTATTCATTTGACATTCAATTTTTATTGTAGCAACTCAACCGAAATACATACCATCATAGTGAATGAAATAGTTGAAAGCGGTTCTGATTTACACCATTCATTTACCATATGACCTTTCTTTAAATATCTAATTCAACTTTAACTTTCAAATTCACAGACATACATAAATAATTCCATTGGTAACTTTTTATTCGTGAACTATGTTCTGCATCTAAAATGTCTTACTTAGCTATTCATACCTGATATGAATACGAAATTCGAATTATAATACTTTGAATATCCTCCATTTAGCATGTGATCTGTAATCAGCTGAATAGAAGATTCCGTGTGTATCACAGCAAACGAAATTCGTCGACGAAATTATTCCAAAGATTTGGCTTATTCATTTTTTATGTCATATTTTCGTAGTTGATTCTACAGATCTTAGAATTTTTGATGACGAACATTGAAAATAAAATCATTGGAAAATTCTTATACATCTGTCATATCATCTTCAATGAACTAAATGCTGAATTGACATCAAGTTACTGTAGATAAGAAAAGCGAATCAAACTCGCGTCATGTTTGTTTAAATCTGATGTGACTTTCAATTTGATACCAAATACGAAATCTTAGGATTCAATTTCATGACTCTATAGAACAAACTTGTCGTTGATATTGTTCCTATGTGGAACAATCGCAATTCTATTATCTATCTCAAAACTTTTATTGAAGGGGTAAACCATTGATGAATAAGTGAATGATAAGGACTGTCTATTTGCCTGTTGATCTTTTCCATCAGATCATACTATTGAACTTCTATGGCGAGAATCGAAAAATTGTTGAATATGACAATGGTCAAATACATTCATTTGCTAGATGAGCTTAAATGATACAGTCGATTTCGAATTTGTGTTCCTTTCCGAGCAAAATTCATGAAAAGAATTATTTTACTTGCCGTTTTGAGTATTCCACAATCATTGAAATCAAAAACATGTCACAATATTACAGCTAGTATTAAGAAACCAATCAAGTAGATGAATATAATTTTGATTGAAAATATTCATTAGTAATATGATCTTACATATGACATGTCATATGTTTTGTTTATTCGCAAGAAAATTACATATTTGAACTGGATTTTGTTAAAAAATATTCATTTTCTATGTTTTCGTCCATCATTGAAGCAATCTAAAACGTTTCTTTTAAACGACGGACTGCAATAACGAACAAATCTATCGTGGGAAACATTTATTTGACTTGTGATCATCGAGTCTATTTTTCATTGTTAGCTTTAACTGCAACGTAGATCAGGTATACATTCAAAACTGTGCTATTCTCTATTCAATAAGCTTGTGATCTGGCATTTAATCGTGAATCTATCACCTTTACGCAGAATTCAAAGAATAGTTAAGCAATATTATAGTGAGATGTATTTTTCAACCGGTATATCTCTGACGAACTACCAACTATTTCACGTTTTTCTCAAGATAAGCAAAATAGATGAATAAAATCATTGTCTTAAAAAATATTCATTTTTCAAATAATATTCGATTCAATTGATTATTCTCCTCTTGTAATCTCATCGGCAGCAAAATATATGCCAACGATGTTATGTGCGAATGTAAATAAAAGAATGTCAGAACTTTGTTTTTATGATGATCACACATTCCTTTATTGACCTATTCGAAATTATAGTATCAATTTTCTAATAAAATAAAGACGATAGGCTGACTAATAAGATAGAGATTTTGCTTTTAGAACGCCAATTTCTCACTTCATAAAATTTGACATGCATCTGAGATAGTTTCATTGGAAACAATGGCAGTAAAATCAACTTTATCATTTTTGTTGAACTTTTTAATAACTGTTGTTCTCGCAATATCACTCAGTAGTATCCATTCTTTGTATTTTAACACTCACACGCTTCTTTTAGTTGTAGGCAGAATCAAAAACAATAGAGTTTTCTGACAACTACTGACAACTATAGTTGGCTTATACAGCTCGTTTTGACATAGAATAAGTAAAATATGGACTAGAAATTCGCATTGCTTGGATGAAGCTGATGTCAGATAAATAAATGAATATATGCTTTCTTTCTGTATCATTTCTGTATCTAAATTAAAAAACTTCATCATAAATTTATCTTTTGCTATATCATTTTAAGATAGATATGCCGGCACCATTTCATGCCAGCCAAGTATTTGCTTTTCTTCGTCGAAATTATCGAGTTTCACGAAATACTCGAGCTCTTTGGCAATTTCAACAGATAGCAGCGTCTTCATTGAACCCAGTTCGCATTCCAACATCAGAAGAAATTGTTAGTTATACAGATAGTCATATACAACTATGAAATATTTCATTTTTTAGACACAATCATCCGATGAAATAGTTCTTGTATCGGCTTTAGACGAACATGGCAAACCCATACCAGCATCATCAAATATTGTGTGCAATAGTGCAACACGTTTTTCTTATTTCACAACACGTTATAAATTTGCATTCATTCTTGATATGACCGATTCGTGTGCTTCAGTCTCTATCGATGGTGGTCATATCTATTTAGAATCACTAACAAATTGTCTATGTATACTTTTATATTCTCTTGCTCAAACATTTACACTACCCGGTTGTGAATTAAAATTTCAACCCGAAATAGACATATCTGTTTATGTTTATTTTCCATTACATCGTACACCAAGTCATCAAGTCTTAATTCATGGTAAAAGAAACCATAGTGAAAAGGTGCTCTAGGAAATAAAATCTGTTTTTTATTTATTTAAAAGGATATCGATTAACTTGGGCGACATTAAAAATTGTCTGTGATGAAATAGCAAGTAATCTAAAAGCAGCTATTGAACTTCTACATAATGTTATGAGTATTAGTCAACCATTTACTGCGCATTCAACATCATCTACAGTCGATTCAGATGATAATATAAATTTACATGTAAACGTTTATTTTTCTATCAAAATTTATTCATTGAGCAATTTTTTTTCTCTAGCTAAATGCAATCTATGCAAATAGTGAATCGTCATGTGCCATCATAAATATGCTTAGCTATGGTATAACAGCTCTACAGTTAATGCCAGAAGAATCAACATCAGTATTAGTTATTATCACTGACGGCATACTTGATGTACCGAATTTACCTGCATTTGAGGTTGTTATGAGACAAATACGAGCACGTATAATAAGTTGTTCATTTGTTCAAATCGGTTCAAATAATAGTCGGCATCAATTAACGAAAAATAGAGTTTTGAATGCACCTATCGCTAGTCTCGGCCATGTACCAAATGAAGAGCTACTAAAATTTATTAGTTTATCAACATTTGGTTCATTTATATATTTTGATGTTGATCATATTAGTGGAGAATCAACATTATTAACACGTTTATTTTGTCAAGAAGAAGAATTAATAAATGTTTGTAAGCGATTTCAAGAGTTTCAAAATGAACTCTTATCTTGGGGTATAAAAATTGCATCTTCGTTTTTGTTGATTAACTAACAGTTTGAGAATTTTCTTTTAGGTTTTCATAAAGCTGTCGATGAAAATAGTGTATCATCAATAAAAAAAATTACGAATGGGTCATTAAATATTGAAGTTGAAAATAATCGAAATAAGTAAAATGATCAAAGTGAAACGATTGACTTGAAAATCATTATCGTTTGGTTATTTTTTTTTTAGTAAACTGAAAGCAACTTGTTTACCAATAGCATGTAAATTAGTCAATCAAACAGTTCTTCAAACATCATTGGATAATGTTCTTTCGTTGCGTCTGCGTGAAGGTTACACAGTTCGACATGTTCAAATACAAAAAGGTTTCATTCATTGTTGTTCGGTCAAACTGTATTATTTTTTAAATTGTTTAACTTTAGATGAAATCGAAGTTCATCTTGTTTTACCATGGCGTTATGATATTCAAATTTACTATATAGCTCGATCTGTTTGGCCTATTGAAAAAAGTGTTCGGACCGATATACGAGTTTATAAAGAAGCACCAATTTATTTTCTTCAAGACATAAATCAATTATCATATAGTCAAACGCCAAAAGCTGCAAACATGATGCGAAATAATCTCATTCGACGATATAATGATGTTATTCAAACGTAGGTTTTTGCTGTCCATTGGAATTTTTTTTCTTTTCACGATTTGTCGAAATTTCTATTTAGTGTCTCAGTCACTGATCGACACCTAACATTAATTAATACGTTTGCTCGAAATTCATCTTATTATAATATAACGGAAGCAATAAAACGTGGAAAAACTATTTTTTATTTATCTCAAAATGATTTACAACAAACATTATTGCTCGTCAAGTAAGTTTAATGAATATTGATCATCAAGGAATGCTGGGAATGTTGAATTTATCATTATTCTCATTCTATTTGTACTGTAAAGAAGTTCGAATTCTTGATTTTTCTAGAGATCCCGAACTTCAAGACTTTGCTGACTTTTGGCGTCCCATCGTTATTCTTGATGGATCATTATGGTACGAAAAACTCGTTGTTTTTTAGATTTTTTAGATTTTTCCGATTATTTGTATTTCTATAGGCAACGTTTCATGTACACGCATCATTTAACAATTATTTTAGTCAATGATCCTCTATCAAATGCATTATTTCTTCTGAATAATCATTTATCACAATCGCATAATAATCACATACAATCAACAGTTTCATGTCGCATAGCAAAAAATGACTTTGAAGCATTTCTATCGGAATATTTTTCATTTGTTCTTCTTGATGGCCAAGCGTATATTAAATTTCTTTTTCATAGTAGTGGTGGCACAGTGCCATATAGTTTTATGTTATTACGCGTTATGGGACAACCACCATTACTCTATCTTAAATTTGCTTTTCAAGCTAAAGCAACAACAGTTGAACGACATAAAGTAAGAAACGACCCTCGATGAAATTATTTTATTTTGCCTAATAATTACTCATTTAGATAATAGAAGATTTTCGATGGAATCTTATTCGTCTTCGTCAACGTCCACGTATGAAATCTGGAAATCCTAATGAAAACAATCGTAAACAACAAACGTCGACACCAGTTTCATCGAATAGCAGTCAACGATCAATACCAATATCAACAATTTCATCGAATAGCAGTCAACGATCAATACCAATATCAACAGTTTCATCGAGTAGCAGTCAACGATCAATATCAATATCAACAAATTCATCGCATCAACGATTCACATCACCCTGTTGTGTTGTTCTAAATAAAAATATTGAAAGATTAATGCTCAAGTAAGTTGCTTTTTTTTGCATAGAATCACAAAAAATGATTCTTTTGATTTTTCTAGACCCGATCCATTTCCTTATGAATCGTTGGGTATACCGAAACCTGATGATGATGATAGTCAACAAAAAAATCGAACAGAATTAGATTCAAAACGACAGGCACTATCCAAATTTTTCTATATACGTTCATTTATACGTTCATTCGAAAGTATAAAACATTCATCAAATATACCAAAACGTATAGCAGATATTATTCTTGATACAATCATAAGGTTAAACATATATTAAATATTTCTTCTTCTGTTTTAAATTTCTTGATGATTCTATTTATAGACGAAGACTTCAAGAAGGCTTTCATTTTGTGGCCACACATAATAATATTCATAATCTCGTTCTTGAAGTTAAAATGAATGTAAGAAGTAGAAAATAATAATTCTTTGTTTCTTTTTTTCAATGTTTTCTTTGCTTTTTAGACACCAAAAGAAGAACATTCACCAGATATATGTCGATTAAACTCTGATATTAGTTTCTATCCTGATGATAGAGCACGAACATGTCTTGTACAATATAGAATTTATCCGGTGGAATATGTTCGGTCAAAGAATACGTAAGAATATTTCGCGCGTTATTTACAAGTGATCTGTCATGAAAGATATCTCATAAAAACTCTACAATACATGAGAAAATCTCAAGTTTTAACTTCTATTTAATCAATGTATAGGAATATATTCCTATTTCATTGAATGCATACTCGTCAAGAACATGGCTGTAGTTGTTTTTCAGCTTGCACAGCCGCTCTAAACAATTGATAGAAAAGGATCTAAAGCTTGAAAATCTTACATTTCAAAGTACTATGCGAAGAGTTTGAGACCGAAATTCGAAAATAGAAGTTATCAAAAAAGTGAAAACCATACGTAAAGCTCGAGGTGTATTAAGATTTTAATAGGCTCGTCAAATTTCATAAGGAATCCAAATATTTTTAAGTTTTGTATTAGAATAGTAAATAATATCTGTGGATAACAAATCATTACGATTGTAATCAGATACTTGATTAGAAAGTGGCCTCTTCAATCATAGAAATAAATATCGAAATTGAAGTCTGAGTCACAAGATAGAGTCGAACTTAAAAAGGATTGATCCCACTCAAGTCTCAAAATAGATGATCATTAAGCAAAACAAATGTTGAAGAACTGCCTTGATACTCATGACAACATACTTATAGGTTTCGTTTGTTACCTATTACAGCAAAATGTCAGTGTCGCTAGTTATTTAGATATAACAGTAGTTTAAACTTTGTATTGCTTCCTTATTTGTTCAATTATAAAAGTCAACTTTCCAGTTTAATTTAATACTGTTTATTTAAAATTCAAAAATTTCCGCATCATTCATTAGAATAACTCGTTGAACTCTTAGAAATGATTATAAAATTTCTAAAGCAATAAGTTATGGATATCTGCGCTAAATGATCAGCAAAGATTTTTGATTTATTTTCTGCCTATATTTGAAGTCCATCACGTGATAATAACTCAGCGTCATTACGGCGTTCATCAAGCATTCATAGTGATCAACCGACCTGCTACTATTTTCTAACTCAATGTTGGGTTGAACCACAAGATGGTTTTGTTGATACTAATTGTCCTGAACTTGAATTTCTCAATCAATGTACTTACAAACAAATTGTCGATAAGGTTAGTTTTCAAAATATTTTATTTATTTAAATACATTTTTCAAGTACGTCTATCTAATCAGGCAAGTTTTTATTGAATGCATAAAACTGTTTCACTCCCCTTAATACTTTCGCGAGTAAACATGTCAATCAATATGTCCTTTGTATAGTTGTTTACAATATCACACAGAAGACAAGTTTATGTATGTTTACTTAACACAAACAGTAGATGTAAAAAAATTAAAAGTACTTTAAAAATATCCATCCAATGTCTAAGTTTAATATGATGTTACCAAAGATTTTTTGTGTTTCATCTTAACTCATTAATCAAAGCGAATAAACAATATAAATTTTTATCTATTACGCATGTGCGATACGCATTTATAACATCAAACATAAAAGATAGTACATATCAATCGTTGCTTATTGAAAATAAGCGCATTTAATAGCAATTAAATTTTTTATCAAAATAAAAAAACGTTCGATTTTTGGCAAAGAAATTTTCAAGTTGATCTCTTAATCATGTCGGTGACTTTCATTTCGTCATCATCATCATCATCATCATCATCATTATTATTATTATCTATGCACTCGTTTATCCTTGGGATGAAAGAAGGTACCTGTTTGTAAGCATCGGAACACTTGAGTTTCCAGTTTTATCTTTCGTTTCTTGGATAAGACATTGTGTCGTCAAAGTTTCGTTTTTTTTATATGTCAACATAACGAAAACGGATAACAGTGTTTGCATTAGCAAAAAAATCCAAAGAAGAATTTTTCGACCAATACGCATACCCGATGAATATATTTGACTCTCTCCTTTTTTTTCTCTCTTATCATCTCTTTTGGTTTCGTATATAAAATGAGCAGTTTACAACAAGCAAAATTTCATATATTCATTTTTCTGTTCGTCAAACATCCTGCATACGAATATCAAGTTTTCATTTCGCTTAATTGCATACGAGCTGGAAGATGGATTTTGCATAGATGTCTTCGGATGCCAGATCTATATTCTTCCAGCTCATATCAATAAGTCACTAGTCATTATCAATTATTTCTTATATACATATGTATATATATATATATATATATTTATATATTGTAAGTCTCCTTCTTTATTCTATTCTACGACCTTTAACTAAGCCGAGAGCTCAAATACAATTCAAATTCAATCAGCTTTTAATACTTCGTTGTTTTTTCCTTCTATCATTACTATTGAGTAGCATTCTCCGTTCTTTTTCAATTAGAATCATTCTTGTTCCTTCTTTGTAAAGCATCAGGTAATAGACAATCACTTTCTTATCGTAACATCATTCAGGGAGGAGTAGTAGTAAATCAAATTCTAATTTTATATTGACCATATATATATATATATATATATATATATTATACGCACAATTTGTCTTTACTTTCCCTCCTTCGATGATGATCGAAAACGAACAAGAGAAAGAAAGAAAGAGAGAAAGAATCAAGCTCAGATTGAGTTTCTTGCACGCTCCACTCGAAATTCCCTCATCGTTCTTCGTGTTATATATGTAGTCAAATTTCGCTACGGAGCACGTTTTACGCGAGCATACACATACACGAACAGATTATCAACAGCTGTAAAGTTCAGGGAGAAAACAAAAGCCCATCCAGACGAACGAAAAAAAAACGTAGAAAAAAAGTGGTAAATGAAGGCGGCAATGTATGTTACGACTCTTCCTTGTTCTCTCTTCTTCTTCTTCATCTTTTTTTGTTGATTACTCTTCACGTTCTTGAGTGAGAACAACAGCCGTTCGTTTCGCGTAAGTTTGAGCTTGATCATAATAATGATCGAATAGAGCAAACCTTATCGCGTGCGAATAGGCCCACTTGTTGTTTTTTTAGGCTCACAATATTTTGTATTGTTGAATTATAGTTTCAATCACGTTTTATTTCTCTATTCGCGTACTCGACTCGACTAAGTGGAGCAGTTCGTCTCACCCTGAACGCCAGGAATTGGTGAGATTCAACTCCTCCACTTCTTTGCAGTCGTTCATACCTTCACTTTGTTACTTTTATTGATAATAATGATGATGATGATGATGATGATGATGATGATGATCATGGTGATGGTGATGGTGATGTAGAGGTAAATGGTTGTTCTTTCGAGAACATATTAATGGCTTCATCGTTTTAGCAAATGAAGAACAATAATAAATATTTATGGCTTCTATTACCAAAATTCAGACATTGACATCAATCGGTTTAATTTTTCGTATCAAAATAAATAAATGATCATTTAATTTTTTTATTCGAATATAATTTAAACTTTTTATTTTATATTTTTTCTTCTAATAAATAATCTATATTGAAATATAAGCAGATTGAATATTTTATCACTTGTAATTTTTTTTTATTAAGTCAAGCATTTAAAAGATCTTTTACTTAATTCTCAAATGATCGACTAATACTTTTATTAAGAGAGAGGGAGAGAGAGAAAGAGGATAATCTTGAATATCATTGATACCAACATTTATTTCTCTCTTAAGAACAATCGATAGATACTTGAAAGGATATTCTATCAAAGTGAACAAATAAATAAATAAATAAGTGTTTCGATGCAACTTGTTATCAAAGTTGTAAGTCTCATTGAAATGTAATTTTTGTGCGAACTACTTATTTGACATATAAAGAATTGTAATCTTGATTAAACTATTTTCAATAGACACGAATCTCATTCGCCATTGTTGATACAATAAAAATTAACGCTGATTTTGATTGATTTAATCTAGGCTAAATGCACTTTAGATATTCATATGTCAGCATAGGAAATATGATAGATCAAAAAAAGATCGAAATATTTGTTTTGCATATTTTATTTATAGCTTAATATCCAAATAAAATCTCTATGAATTATTTAGATCGGCGAAGTTGATCGAGAATGCTTCAATACACTTGTTTCATTTTATTTTGTTAAATACTTACCGGAGCGAAGTACATTTTTACCAAGGTACTTTTAAATATTGTTGCTTATGTTGAACAGCATTCTTGGTTTTTATAGAGTTATATCACGTGCGCCACGAGCTTTAACATCGGATATAATTCGCGTACCATTTATTCAAGATACAATAAATCTGATACGTCGTTCATCTCAAACACATTTTGATTTTTCTGCTTTCATTGATGGTAAGAAGATGAAAAATAAAAAATATCGACCACAGAAAAGTAGTACTAGAAATTTTTATTGTTCATATTTAGATTATTATAAGATAAAATATGATTATATCAATAGTAATGGTACACTTACATCACCAAGTCTTAATTCAACATTACTTAGTGTACTTCGTGAACGTCTTTGCTCGAAAACATACGAAAGTAAACCACAATTATTTTCCGAATGTAATGATAATAGTAATTTATTCACACGTAACTTGATTACACGTTCGTATCATTCGATAAATTCTCGTTTACCTGTTGGTTTACAAAGTTTAAAATCAAATCCATATTTACTCTATTTACTTAACTATCATCAACAACAAACAACGAAGCTATTAACTGATCTCGAACGTTTTCTTATTGATATGTTGTTTCCTCATTGGGATTTTCTTGTTTGTGCTGATAATGATGAATATGTCTATATGATATTATTACCAAAAACTGAACGTGATTTACTTTTATTGAATACAGATTTAACTACACTTATGCACGATCTTATTGCTTATTATTCATTTAATCATATTGATAATAAAGTGCCGATCTATGAAGATTGCCGTTGTGTAATGGAAGGTTTATTCGATGATATTGAACATTTAATCGGTATTGATTCGCCACATTCACCGCCTTCAAATGAAAAATTACAAAATAAACTAAACGACGAATATGCGGGTGCGTGAGATAGGATATCATCGATACTATTCAATAGTTTTGATTTTCGACATAAGAAATCTATCTGAGTAGTATCACATATCTACACAAATGTAAACATAATAGATGGTTTTTTAAGTTTAAGAACAATATATATATATATATATATATATTGTAATCTTACATTACAAATTAGCGGCATTGTCCTACTCTTGTGAATAGAATAATGTAAAATTTACAAATTTTCTTTTATTCAAACCACTAGTGGAGCTTATCCAATAGATTTTGATTGTCAACTGTACATTTATTTTATATTGTGGATTAGATTTGAATTCTATCTTTTTGTTTTTTGTAGGTAGACATCACCAACGACGACGTCAACGCCGAGATACATTTACTTCGGGTGATTCAGCTGCACCTCATAGTACACATTTAGGATCCAACAGTAGTAAAAGTACAATATCTACATCACCGATTCCTATAAGTCATCAGCTGAATCAACATTTAAACCATTCATCGTCACAGCCGACACCTCTTGGCTACCGTCGTATCTATTCTCCATTGACCATTGATACAAGTAGCATATCACATGCTGAACATAGCATGCGTCGTTATTCTGCATCAGCTGTTGTGTCGCCACCTGTTCATAATCATAATCATGGAGGTACACCTTCAGTTAATGTTATTCCACCGACACCACGCGAAGTCTTATTGAATGATATGTTGAAAAAATTTCCTGATCATCAATGGCATATTCCAATATATTTATATGGCTGCAATAAATTACGTTTAGCATCATCATTACTTCTATCAAATGAATTACAATTAAGGAATTTTTATTCGGATACTTATGTTGATTATACTAAAGATGATATTGATTATTCCACTATAACATCTACGACAACGGCACCAACATCGCAAACTTTAAAGCCTCGAAAACGCGGTACGATCAGGAATGAATATAATAAATCTTGTTATTTCATATTATTTGCTATATGATTTGAATTTGACTGGCAAAGTTTAGTTTTGCTCTTAAAGGATCCCTACACTAAAATTTTGGCACGCTAAACTACTATTAATTATATTACGGGCACAAGTAGGAAGTGAAAAAGCACTTTTTCTAAAAGCCCACAGAAATCTACATGACCTGACTAAATAGACACACATTTCTTTCACAGTCCGACATGAGAAAATGATTATTCCAATGATGCTTTCAACTTCAGTTCTAAAGAACATATAAAAATGAAACACGATTTTCAATACGTATGCTTTTTTATTATTATTGCAAGCCGAACGTTGCTGTTATCAGCTCTGCAAATGATAAATCGCAATGTCATTTCTGCATATCTTCATTGAATTTCTATTTATTAGATAATTCTCGTCGACATGATGATGAATCATTAATCCCTCAAGAAAAACTAGTTCAAGACATGCGAGATTCAATTGATTATGCAATTGCAACTGGTAAGTTTTTTTTCTCCATTTTTCACATTTTATTCTCTCTGGATTTTCTTAGCATTTTATAAAAATTGTTTACTTGATTTAACAACAAATAGTTCTGATGTTGAATATGCATTAAATACAATCTATCGGGACCACTATGAAGAGATTGAGTTGACACCGTTTCTTAAAGCAATGTGTGCACATTTATCAAATAATGAACTAAAGTAACGAGAAAAAACGAATGCTTGTGAAAAATTAAAAGATAACTTTTGTTTTGTTTTTATTTAAAAGTTCAATTGAATTCGATTCAGTTTGTGAACCAACAACAAGACATATTAATTCTTATTTAAATGACAAATTTATTGGAATAATTAGTAAATTTTTTCATCGTGTGGCACCGGATTCGGATTATTTTTACTTTTTTACTGATGAAGACGGCTTTCGACAGACTCGAAATTCCGCTGAATCAGAAGATCGTCTATCGAATAATCATAATAACCATAATAATAATAATAATAATAATAACAACAATGAGTTACAATCAGCATCGGGACCGTATAAATTTGATGATACAAACGTATATGATCATGAAACTGATGATGATGATGATGATCGAGATAGTAATCAAACTGTTCATGTACATGATAATAATGATGATGAAGATCCCGAATTACAATTAGCAACACATCGTCGTCGTTCAGATCTATCATCAAGTTCACTATCAAATCGTTCGAGAGAATTATCTGTCCGAGGTGAAATCTTACCTTTGTTTATTTGTTTTGCTTCTGAACTAGATTCAAAGGTGAATCCTCTCTATGAACCAGTTAGAACCATTCCACTTTGTATAAGTAAGAAAAAGAAAGTGATGAATTCGTCAAAATTATTTTTCTTCTTCTTTTCAAGGCGGTTTAATGTCTAAGACAAAGGAGAGAAAAATCGATTATGATAATCTACGTATTTTATTCGATTTCATTTGTTTAACATTCGAACGTGAAGACGCCGATGCACAAGGTGCCAACAGTGTTGTTACCACGAATACACCAACATTTAGTAATTCATTTTTATCAACAAAACGGCTTCAAGAATTCAACGCTATCGACGCAATTGAAAATGCCAGTACTTGTACGGGTACAACAATGGGCATAGAAGTGAACAGGCAAGTGTTTTGATTGTTAAACGAATAAAAAATTCTTAACAGCTCTTATTTATATTTGTAGACATCCGTTGGAGAAACTTCGATTATCAGAAACCCAAAAACATGCAATTTCATCGTGCCGACGAGAGGTTTGTAATTATGGAATTAAATCGATTGAACACGAAACAATATTAGTTTAAGATAAACACAGTATTGAGTATATCGAATCATAGCAAGAGATCTTTATAATGTATTTAGCTAATTTTGAATTATCATCAACTTACTAGTAATCATTTCATTAGAATTTGTTTTGTTTCATATGAAAATTGAATCTTAATTCGTTAGAGTACGACAGAAAATAATCTGTTATTTGTATTCTCTCAATTTTTAGATCGAATGGCTTTTACGTGACGAGCAACTTTCAACATATTTTAGTCGGCGTACACTGGATAGAAAATTAATTGAAAATGTTATTGAACATGTTCAAAGTTCAGTTAATATTCAAAAATCAAATTGTCTTTGCCGTTCAATTGATCTTATGTTTGTACTTGGTATTGATAAGTCGCGCGATCCATTTATTGAAGTAAAAATCGTTAATTAAAAAACAACAAAATTCTATTAGTTTTTCTCTTTTCGGAATATTAGGATTTAAAAAATATTCGTATTCGAAATAAATATGGTCTAACGAAATGTGGAATATATTTCGTTCTACTTAAACGAAATGATGAAACTATATTAGATATGTTTCCGAAACGTAACAAAAGTAAGATTTTATTAGATACCAAGAAATGATTTCATTTCTTTTTTTGTTTTGCTTGTAAAGTTCTATCGGTGACATCGAACGATGATCAATCTTCATCCAACATGGAAGAAAGTTCAATTTCAGAAAGTTCAATCGGGGATGATGATGATGAAAAAAAATCTAGCGAAGATGAACTCGATGATTATATAAAACCATCATTTTGGCTTTTTGTTGAACAAAGACAGAAACCTTCAACTGAAGTTGACTTACTTGAAGTTAAATTTTATCTCTATTGCGGGTACGAAACGTTTCTGAAAAAGAATATTCTTGAGAAGAATTACTTTAATTTGTAATGCAAGGTCTGTATAGAGAAGAGTTCATATAAAGAACAAGTTTAGTGTTTCAGCACTTGCCTTTCATTAAAGAAACGGCTAATGAATCAATCTTTGAAGAGGCATTTTTCAAAATGAATTCTATTTGAAAAAATATGTAGATCGTAAAGCAAGAATGAGAACAATTCATTATACTTTAGTCATACTTTTTTTAATGTAAATGTATTCTCTTCATTTTAACTAGTTCATCGTCTGATGCAACACAAAATTCAATTGAACCTCAAGCTATACTAGAAGAATTAATGAATGAATTCAATCGATTATGTCGTAGAATCAATCAGGTTTGATTATTTTCAATTTATTTTTGTTTCGTTTTGTTCTATCAGTTATTTTTTTTTCTATCTAGAAATTGTTACTAAGTGATTTAGCAGCCAATGGATTATGTAATTCACTATTGGTACCACCTGGTGAAACTGATGAGATAAGTATCGAAACTGATGCACCCATTTTAACAGCTAATTTAAAAATAACACCTGGCACAGTAAGAATTATATTTTTATCTATTCGAAAAGTGAAAATTATTCATTAAAGTTTGCTTGCGATGAATTATGGAGACATTCGTTTCCGCTGCACCTTCGTCTTCGACCACATCTACAGACAATGTCAAGTTACAAATCATCATCTGGCTATCATCCAGGTAAAATATTCAATTCCATTTGAATACAACTTGAAATCTTTTGAATAATTTTAGGCTCACTCATACGTGAATTAACAACAACTTTTAATTCGTTTGCTGTACATAATAGAAAAAATTTGTTTGTTTATCGTGGTGAACCAAACAACTATTATATGAGATTTCGAGAAGATACTCTTCCACCATCGACATCTAGTTACGTTGATGACTCTTTAGTACTCAGTGAAAGTGCTAATGCATATGGTCCACCACCATCACCACAAATACATCATCAAAATAGTGCACCATTAAATAGCAATTTGAAAAATCGTCAACGACACGATTCAGTAAGAAATATTGATATTACTTGAATAGATATTGTTGGGGAGGTGCTCAACGATTCTCTAAAACACTTCGTACGCGTTTTATTTGCATTTTCAGACGAATTTAAGCTTTGAGAATTTAATTTTATCAAAAAAAGAAACATTCACTGTTAAGCAGTTCATTGATTCACACTACTGCATTACTTATGACGATTTTACATTAAATCAAAACTTGCCTTAGAAAAAACTTCTGAATAGAGCTATGAAATCTATAGAGCGTGACTTCGCATTCATCGCCATCCTGTGTTTTACATTTTAATCCCACTTGGATTCAGTAAATGCTTATCATTTAAAAATTTTGTTTATAATAGGGCACGTTTTGTGTTCATGTAATGCTCTATGGATTAGAATCTGCCAGTAAGTTGTGTTTTTATTTTTCGACTAATAAATAAATTTCACGGTTTATTAGCTACTGATCCTACATTTGAAAATTTGAAGATTAATCTTATTCAAATGATTGTTAATCGATTAGAAGAAGAAGTTGTTAAAGAACTTGTTAATGCTTTATATCATTTTGCAATGACACGTTTAAATCCTGACGATGTTACTGTAAGTATTCGTTTTTGTGTATCAAAAATGAATCAACATGATATTTTTTCTATAGTTCATTCGACCTATTGAAAGCGAGCCAAAACATGTATTTGAATATAAAATTTCACCATACATCAATACGAATGCATTTTTATATTATTTTCGACGTTATGTTAAAACAAATCAATTTCATCAACCTCTTCTTCTACCTGTACTTGCTAAAGATCTTAAAGTAAGACGAGATGAAAAACAAAAACAAACAGTCATAAACGGTTCTTAATTTTGTATATATTTAGGAAATAATTAAAGATTATCGTGGGCAAACATTAATTGTTTACAATCGTACTTATCATATGGGAATTCCTCGGCCAGGTTATTATTTTGAATCAAATGAGAAGCATTTCAAAATAAAAACGATGCATTTTTCTTCTTTTCCAGGTCTTGCATGGATTGAATTACATGTGTTAAATCCAACCAACCGTCCGAGTCCTTTATCAACAGAAGATTTATCCGATGAATTAACGGTTAAATCACTTATTGATTTAATTCATATTGTCGAACGAAAATCTCCTTCTTCGTCTCCTTCCGGAATAGATGGAGATAGTAAGTTGAATTCGATGAATTCCTTCATGAAATTATTTAATTTTTTGAAATAGATTCGTCCGAAAATATTCTTCGTTGTCATGTTTGGACGCGAGGCAGCTCAGGAGAAATTGAAGCAAGTGCAATGTCAAGTACACTATTACAAGCATTTACATATGCATTAGCTGATTATGTGACTGAATATAAACTTTTACCATCACTCTATAACAATCAAAGGCACGGAGGGTTCGAACCACCACCATCACCTCGTTCCATGGCTACAGTTAGATTTGCCGATGAATCAAGTAAATAATCTTAGTTGAATTTTGTATTTGCCTTTGAAATTTTTCTTATTATATTTTTGCTTATAGATTTTGTTCTTGATCGAAATATACAAACATATGGCGTAGAAACAATACCAACAACTCCTACACTACAATCAAGACGTGTAAGTTTTAATTGCGTCTCATCATTAAGTGCATTTGTTTTATGTAAAATGTCAATATTTTGTCTGCCTGATATGAATTTATACGTTTTGATTCGAATCCAATATGTTGTTCTAGCATTCGACGAATAGTACAGGTGGCATATTTAGTATATTCAGTAAAGGCAGCAGATTTGTTGGTTCACATTCGCCTGCCAAATTACAGGTTCATCCCTTTCCAACTAACAGCTACAACAATATACTATGTTTATATATCATAAATAAATTTTCGCTTCGGTTTTCATTTATTTTTGGTTAACCAGACAAACAATGCTTTTATTTAAATATCAGCCAAACTCAGCTCTTTGGTTTTACACTACACGTTTTGTTTCTACGCTTTGTTTCTATTTTCGTTTTTTTTTAATTAATATTTATCATTAAGTTTCTTAATTATTTTTTGGTTTTACTTTTTAAAGCGCCCAGAATCAATGCAAAGTTCTATGTTAAGTAATTCATCAATGGATGAACCACAATCACTCCCAATTGAACATGCACATCGTTTAACAGCATGGTTTCAACATTTAAGTCAAAATTGTAAGATTGTTTTAGAAAATTTTCTTTGCGAAAACATTTTTTTATATTTCTTTTTGTTTTTAAAGATCCAAAACTTCCCTCAGTAACATATGGTACTTACACATTGAACAATCGAATACTTCTCATAGATATTATACAACATTTCACGTCGTGGCTTAATGATCAAAAATTTATTGCATATAAACATGAATCATTACATGGAATCGTACTTCGTTGTAACCAAGAACAAACTTTATATTTACCATTGCCCACTATGGATCAAATGGTACGAAATATGTTTAGAGATGAAATTATTCATTTGAATTCATTTCGTAAAAGTTGATCTAGCGAATGAAATATTTTTTTGTTTTAAGCCACCACGTGTTCCTGGTGAAAAAATTGATCTGATCGTATTATATCAAAGTACTAGATTGGCTAATGATGTAATTGTTGAAAGTATTGAACCATCACCTCAACAAGAATCTGGTGATGCCAGTAAGTTCAAAGAATTATTTTTATATAAGAATAACAGTGATTTTTTTGTTTTTGTTTTTTTCTCTTAGTGGCATTAGCAAACAGTTCCGATATTCTTAAACAAATATTTTTATGCGTCGTTGCAAATGATAAAAAGGTTTAATTTTCAAAAATTTATTTTCAAAAAAAATCAATTGCTTGTCTTTTGTTTAGTTAACAATGATTTTATATAATGCACCTGATGAACTGTCGAAATTATTAACGAATTATTTTTCGAATTTAATCAATTGGACAAATAAACGGTTAAATTTTCTCTCGATACTTGTCGCACAAAAAATGGGACTTTTTCGTTATCGATCATTTCACAATGATCAACAATCCGATTATAATCGTCATCATTCACCACATGGATCAGTGACACATAAAGTTTGTTGTTTTTTATTTTTTATTTTTTTCAATGCTTTATTTTGTTTTTCTTAGCATTCTGTAAAAACCGATCATGTCGATCTTGAACAATTAATTAAAGAAACTATACCACCAAAAACAAAAAATATTTATACATCATGGAATATTGACTTACTCTATTGTAATTTAGTTGGTGCCTATCCACCATTATCGAGTGATTCAAGTCAAGATCTTATTCAACGACATGGAACACAATTACTTCAACTTAGAGAAAATAAAAAGATTCGTATGTCTTCTGTGAAATTAAATCGCAAAAGATTAAGACTGTTACATTCTTAAATGGGCAAAAAAAACATGAGATCTCTATAATATATCTTACAGAAGCTGAGTCTTGGCCGATATGTACTCAGATCTGTTGTCGCAATAACTGAATGAGTTGTAAACGATAATGATAGCAATACGCTTGCATAAAAGAATTATAATTTTTTTTGCTAAATAAATGTTGCATAACCGTCTATAGCCCTAATACGCGTATTGCCAATGAATGTATTGACTGATTCACCGGGACCATAGCATTAAAATGCATACCTAATTCTAGAAGGAAATGAATCAGCCCTGACCGAAATGCTCTTGCCAGTACTTTTCTAGAATCTTCTTCTCTTATATTCGGTAAGAACGAATACTTGGAGTTGCTAAATATCTGAAATTTCTATCAGATTCTTCATGATGGAATACAAGACAGAAGACAGATAAGTTATAAACCACACTCACCATCTCTGAAAAAAAATATCAATAAACTATTTTCTGAATCAAATTATTTCACAAGGAAATTATTTTTTTATTTTATAATCTAGATATGGACCGATGTACCAGACTCGAAGAAATATGTTCGAATTGGCTACTTCGACCAAAACTATTAATTGCAGTGTGTTGATAAGTCCAACTGTTTGTTTACGTATGAAATTTATCTAATCTCTTCTATATTAAAGGATGATGTATTAATACAAATGAAACATCGTTCACGATTATTAGCTTTATCAGTTACACCAATACTTTTCTCTCGACATGCTCGACAATTTTTTCAAAATAATTCAACATTGCGTACAAACAATGCACTGTGTTTGGTAAGAAACTATTGAGTTCATTCGCTCTTGTTATTTTTCTGAACTGACAAATAGAGATTCGTTTTCTTTTCACAATGATTGAAGTTAATTCTTTGTAACATTTTCGAATGAGCAATGTTTATGTACATGTCTATGCTTTCAGGATGCGTCCTCAGCTCCATCATCAGCAACATTTGAACTTTTATCGGTTTATCGAATGGCAAACAAACGAAAATCTGTTGCCATTCCTGTCGATTTTGCTCTACGCCGATCTGGGCAATCGATTGATGAGGTTTCTTCTTTGTTTTCTCGTATATTATCGTTATTCGTTTTCCCTTATCCTAATACATATACACACACACATATATATATATATATATATACATATATTAGTATCAGTAGATTAGACAATCCACAACTATATTATAGTTAAATTTCACTTTTCTTACGACGTTCCTACGTCATAACATTTCATAGTTTTGGTTGACTGGTGTGGACTACTAATATCTTCTATAATATTATTATACATAATTTTATTCTATTTTGGTTTGTGTTGTATTATTTCTCTAATATTACTCTATTCGTATATAGTTTCAATATTCATACAGAGATAATGTAGGGATATTCTTTATTTTATAATTGATGAAAATTATAGAACTATTAATTTTTTTTTCAAGTTTATCTTGGGTTTCTTTTTGTTCGAAGGATAGTCTGTTTAACGTTACGGTTTACTTTCTCTTAGACAATATTGTCAGTAGACATCCATTATTGGTTGCTGCTATAAAAGCTTATCGTTGTGATAATCAGCATTATGGTAATAACAAAATTTTCATTTAGAATGATTATCAAATCACTCAAAATCAATTAGCACGTTTCGATACAAGTCGTTTGAATAATATCGAACCACTCTATATTCAAATAACATCATTATTTATCGAACAATTTTCTAATCATCTACAAACAACTTACAAGTATAATCCAATAAGTACAAAATTGAATTCTCGAAAGTAAAAAACTCGAAATGAAACTAAATCATTTTTTGTAAATTTCATAATTTCAATTTTTAAGAGTCGCTCATCCATCGCATGTTCAAACACCAATTGAATGCAATTTTCATCGTTCGGATCATAATAAACGTGTAACTTTGCTAGCTGAATTATCATCAGTAAATAATGTTCAAATCGTGATACGTTTTCTTCAATATGATATTGTTAAAATACCTAATAGTAATCAATCTGCATCCACAATTCATTTTCGACCAGTATGAAACGATTCTATTCAGTCGCGAAGATAATTACTGACTTTTGTTTTGTTTACGAAATTAGATTCCAAGTGATTCCAATCAGACACTTGAACAGATAGAACTTGATGCGTTTGCTTATGATTTTCATCTCCAAACAATAATTCGCTATCAAACAAATCTAAGTGATGCACAAATGTTTCCAACGGATTTTTCGGTTATTTCATTTTTGCAAGATTTCATTGAATACTATCCAACTCCACCGATTGGATCGAAAACAGCATTATTTCGAAGTAAATCTTAAATTTTCTTATGTGAATTTGAGGTAAATTTTTTTTATAAACAATCATTGTTTTTCTTACAGCTGTTATTCATCATCAAATTGATATTACTAAACGTTCGGCTGATGCTTATTTATTCAAATATGTACTTGAACATGCAGCAACATATAATATTCAAATAACAAAAAGAAATTCAGTAAGATTTTTGCAGAAAATAAAAATTATTCCAATACAAGAAAAGAATTTTTTTCAAATTCGACTTTTTAAGCTACTAGCAATTAGTTTTCTTACGAGAGAAATACTTGCCGAATATTTTTTACCGTTTGATTTTGTGAAAATAGACTTTTGATCATCAAAAAAAAAGAGACAAATGATCACCAAATTTATTTGGATTAAATAGATAGTACATGTCAATATCAATTTGGTTAGATATGTATAAGGCAAGTGAATGAACATCATTTGAAGATTTCGTTGCATAGAAATCCTCGTGTTTCCAGTGAAAAAAATATCAAATTATCGGAGAATTTAGTAAATTATAATCGGATTTTGGTGCACAAAAATCCGATTATAACCTACTAAATTCTCCGATAATTTGATATTTTTTTCACTGGGAATATGAGGATTTCTATGCACATATCTAGCCAAATTGATATTGACATATACTATCTATTTAATCAAAATAGATTTGGTGATCAAAAATATTCATACCCTTTCGTTTTCTACATTATTTTTATTTGTTAGGATGAATATCTATTCGATTGTGAACAGAAAGATATCTATTGGATGGCTGCCCGAACAACTCCGTCGTCATCTTCTGAATTAACAGTTGTCCTGTATATTATCTATACAAAATTAATCGCAAGACAACCGAATGCATCCAATGTAGTTGTACCATCTTTAAACAAAATACCGCTACCTTCAGCAAGTAATCTTCGTGTAACAAACAGTTTAAACAAGAATGGAAATAATAATCAACCGAGAGAACGAGCTTCAACGATATTGCCACCATCTGGTAAAAACAATCTTGTTATACCGGTTCGATCAAATTCGTTTGGTTCCGAACAGAACGTCGGCATTAATATACCCGTAGAACAAAATGTTGGATTTTTCAAGTAAGCAGAAAAGAAATGAATGAATTGCGAAGAAAAACAAAATTCGATGTTCTTATTTAGAGCAAAATTAATATCTATATTAACTAAAGCATCATTATCACATCGCCGTGAAAGTTTATGGGAACGATTAATTGCTTCTCGAACTGACAATGCTATACCTACACGTCAAGAAGTAATTTACTTTTGTGATAATATTTAATAGTATAGTTTAGCTTTGCTCTCTTTTTATTTTAGATAATGCCAATACAAATGAATGAATTTCAATCATTAATAGATTCTTGTGTTGGCGATGAAATAATTGAATTAAAAACTGTGACTACATTATTACAACGTGTATTTTCTAATAAAGAGCAAGTCGATCGATTGAATCGATTTTTACGTTCAAGATATGGTTCACAATTTCATCCATTTAATTCATCATCAATTCACTATCTAGTGCGTAAACATAGACAGATTGTTTTTTTTTTTATTGAACGAAGTTTCTCTTCGCTAATAATCAGTGGATATAAGAATGAAGATGAAAACTTGTATTTTCATTAAGAATTCATCGGATGTTCGTAAAGACATGAAAGTATGCAAAACTGTGTACTATAAATTGTACTGCAACTAATCTAGCTCTAACAAATAAAGAGATATGAACTTGAGAGAATCAATACGAATTTACCACCACTTACTTTGAGTTTTGCAGTTCTAAAATTAAAAATCAATGATAAACATACATAAATTGAATTTATTTCAAGGTCATCTTTCAATATAAAGCTCCACAACAGTGCGATGTATTTCTTGTTCTTGTCTATCGATCGGATCAAAATACACTAGTAAGTTAAATAAAACAATTATTCGAAATGTGTTGAGTTTTTTTTTGTTTTCTTCTCTAGAAATCCTATTTAGTCAAACATCGAAATAATATCGATTGTGCATCATTTGTTCAAACATTTACACAGAGAATTACCTATTTTCTTTGGGAATGTTTGACATAGAACAAAACTGGAAAACAATAATTCGCTATAATAAACATTTATTACTGTTGTGTGATTTAAAGACTAAAAAAAAACAAAGTAGTTTTATGAAAGAAATTCAATTGTGTGCTTATGTATGTATATATAGATATGTTTAGATGCAGAAAGAAAGCAACAAAAAGAATATAATTTTTGTATTGCTTTGATTTACATTTGACGTTTTTTTGATTTCGATATTGTTTTTTCAAAACCTGTTTCTTGTTGATTTAGTAACTGAAATGTTAAACTTTCTTCGTCATCAATGGATTGTTCAGTTGCATTTTCATATAAAACATTGTTTTGTAGAGCATAGAGTTTGTCAAGTATATTCTTCATATCTACATGAATATAATTCATAGATTTCATGTTTTCAGTTTTTGTCAATAGGAAAAGTAATCAAACACACAAAGCAGAACAACAAATAATATGAAATAGTTTAGTCAATTATATTTCATCACCTGTTTCTTCAGCATTTACATTTTCTGTAACAGTCGGCAGAGCAATGTTATATGTACGCCGTCTTGATAAACTTCGTTTTGATGGTGGCCGTTGCAATGGTGAATTAGAAGTACCCACAGATAAATTAGGAGAGAATGATAGATCGCGCTCATCAGATAGACCATTTGCAGATGATGTAACATCATATTGTGAAAGACTAACTTGAGACGTACATGTGGATGTTGAACTGTTTCCATCGGCACTAATGGATTCATCTTCATCGGACACCACACTATTGTTCCATTTTGAATCTTCTCCTATTAGAAAACAAAAACAAATTTAGTATTAATAAATTTTCAGATTCAATCTTTACGAATGGCAATTAAAAATATGAATTTTTTAATGATTTACTATAAAGGTCTACATGATAATATTGAATCATCTAGAGATATTTGATTTCAATGTATGCAAGGTCATAGAGAATGTTCTTATTAGATTTCGTCCGAAACAGAATGTTTTCTTTTAATTCAAATCAATAATTTTGATCAAAAAGAAACATAGACAATAAACATTTTTGTTTTTCTTTATTGTATCTATTGAAGGAGTATTATGATACCATTTCTTACTGTAGAAAATGGATTATACAATGGATATTATTTCAAATATTTTACGAAATTTAATTTTCTTATTTTTATGTGCTATGAATAAACTAGTATCTATTGATTATTTAGACAAATAGAAGAGAAGAAAACAAAGAAGTAGTCACCACAATATACCACCGAAAAGACATTCCGATGAGTTGTGGATGTGCATCAAGACATGAAAAAAATCCATAAAAAAACTCCTAGTAGATGAATGTTTTATTAGCTTATGTCAATCGTAAGATGAAATACATATTGATATTCTAAACGTTTTTGAAAGCAGCTTAACTAAAATATTTTTCAATATTCATCTAGTAGTCTAAGAATACATTGATTAATTTTCTACTCTTATCAATAACAAAGTTTAGAAGACAATCCTTAGATTAGAAATTTATCGAACTAGTTGGTATTGATATTTAAAAAAATCTTATTTTCAACTTACTATGAAAGTTACATTCATCGACCATAGTTTTTTTTCGATGTTTTTTCTTATTCGCGTCTGAATCACAACGTGAACTAGTAAATGATCTTGGCGAAAAATAAAAATCTTGAATATTACTTATTTTTGAGTTTGGATTTGTTCTTTCAGATTGTACGAAATTAAAATGCCGTTTTATTGAATATTTCGATACATAAGATTTTGATCGTGAAAAACTATTTGTTATTCGACTCTGCGCATTTCCTTGCTCTGACAATATTGGTGTCCATCTATGTAGAGGAACAAAACTATTTTGAGGATGATCTTTTGAATTGAATGCATGTTGTTTAAGATTATGTTCACTAATTGTTTTAGAATAATGTAATGGTTTAATGTGCGGTGTTGAAATTCGATTGTTTATTTGAATTGAAGCTTTATCGAAAAGAAATGAAGGTGACATATTATTTCGAAATGTACCATGTGTTGGAGTTGACGCTGGCAAATAATGTCTATAGATATTTGTGATATCTGACCTTTGTTGAATAGAAAGATTTTCTAGAAGAGTACGATGACGACGAATTAATATAGGCGATTGTCGTTCGAGTTCTTTTTTTATTGTTTGTGGACGATTATTATTATTTGTTGATTGTTGTTCATTTAGTTCAGCAAATAGTACATGTGGCGATGAAATAGATGTTGTTGGTGAAACTTTATGTTTACCACTGGGTGCTGACGGTTTTCGAACAAATGACTGAAATAATTCGATTAGAAATCTCAGTAATTTAGTCTTTTCTATCCGTAGAACAGTTAGACGTGTACAAGACGAAATGAACTCAGATAACTGAGTATTTTAGCAATATCTCTTACGGCATGTAGAATTGCAGCTGCCCAAAGAAAGTTATAAAATACCACAGTTAATTGCTTTGGAAATACAAATACTTTTGGTAAAATTTTGCGCTACTCGCAATCGACCTTCTCTGTGTGAAATTGAAGGCTCTAACCTTTTCCACACAAAATTTAATTGGAAACCTTTTCAAATAGAGCATAGATTTTCTAGTGCTTTTTGCAAGATAATTACAATAAAAAGTGCATGCAATTTTGCGAGTGCTTCAAGTGAAAGTAACTCTGTTCGAAAAATACTGGGGGAGCTTTACTAGGTATGCCTAAAAATATGTGCAATACTGTAGTTGTGCCTATCCTGAAAATCCGTCTAAGCAAATATTTGAATACTCAAAAATATCAGCAAAACACTGAAGATGAAACTATTTGTTCTATACTGAGTTTAGGACTAAAGTTTTTGCCTACTTCAGTTTCATCTGGTTTATTTAAAAACGAGCGAATAACGCGTTGGCGTTGCAGAATATGATTTGTTTCTGATTTGTGATTGTTTGATCGAACCATTGATGGAGAATTTCTTATCTGTTTATCCGAATGAAAATAAGTTGTAAGTATTCGATTAATCGGATGATCATTAGTGCTGCGTTTCCAATTGTTAATATGCTGTGTTTGTACATCATTGTGAAACATTCGAGTAACTATTCTTTTCTGTCAATGAAATTTTTTTCTCACTTTGTCTCTTTTTTTAACCTAAAATTATGGGTCTTCGCTAGTTGAGATGAAGAGAAATACGAAGGAAAAAAATAACACAAGACAAAATGTAAGAAAAAAGAAAATTATTTCAAACAAAGAAGGAAAAAGAGAGAAATATTTTCTTTCTCTTTAAACGATAAATGAAAAATCAAGCGGTAAAAAAAAGAAAGAAATTATTAATATTTCTAGATGAGTTACACTACAAAAAATGATAAAGTTATCTTAATTGATGGTGGCCTTGGCACAACGTTACACGAATATGGACTTGCAATTCTTGACGATCCTTTATGGTTGATAAGTCTAACATAACTTCTCTTTCATTAAGCCTAACAAATAAGAGTCTACCATATTGCTTGATATTTTTTCTACGACAACATATGCAAGATAGTTATTAGAAGTTCGTAGAGAAATGAAGTTTGAATTTAGCACATTTTTATTGCCCAGTCAATATTTTTATTAGGCATCATTAATTGAAAGTTGTGACTAGGGGCGTCACCAGAAAAAAATTGTAGGGGGGAGCCTAGGCCTCCCCCTCCCCCAGACCCCCTGGTTACGCCCCTAGTTGTGATAGTGCAACGACTCGACTTACTAGCATTCGTGGCAGTGTGTGCATGCCGATATTAAAGTACTAATTAATTATTATATCGCTACTAATAATTGATGAGTTTTCTATTTGCTTTTAACAAACACGTATCGGATGTGTGAAAGAGAGAGAGAGAGAGAGAGAGTGCTAAAAATTAACTGCTACAATGCGTTGAAATTATATACAGAGGAATGCCTGAAAATTAACAGCTATTTGATAATGTTAAATTTACTACACTATAGTATTCAAAAAAATAAAAAATATTGTTCTCAAAACACGACAGCTTTTCCTTATTTATATAATGCGCATTATAAATAATAAAAACTGAACAGCCTCATTAAGATAATCTACGTATTTCCGAATAATAATTATATTAATTTGATTTTTCTACTGCGATGTTTCTTCGTTGACAGCAAATTGAGACTATATTAATTATTACTAATGGTACTATAATTAATAATTACCGCGTTGAGCTCTGAATCAGAACACCTTTCAGTTATTTGTCATTGGGTGAAAATATTGATTGAACAATCGAAATGTGTTACAAATTTTTCTTATATAAATAGGTATAACCTAAAAACGCTTCATGTGTTAGTCTTCTAGACTTTTCTAATAATGATCTTGATCACGAGAAAGAATCAAGAGTAAATTTCTCAAAATTATTTTTGTTATATATTTTTATAAGGTCTGGAAGAACATTGGTAAATGCACAAGAACAACTCGTAAAAGCACATCGAGCGTAAGTCTACCATGAATCAATTTATAATGAATATTTCATTGATCCATAATTCAGTTTTGTTCAAGCTAAATGTGACATCATTTCAACTGCTACATATCAAGTAACGGTTGATAGTCTAATGAAGCATCATCAACTATCTCATGAACAAGCAGAAGAAATTATCTTTAATTCGGTAAAAATAGCTCAAAATGTGATTGGTCAGTTTGGATTTTGAAAATAGAGTCAATACAATGAATTATAAATTTCTTCTAATATAGATGAAGAAAGAGCGCAGTGTTCTGTAGCAGGTTCAATTGGTCCTTATGGAGCCATGTTATGTGATGGTAGCGAATTTAATGGATGGTATACAGATTCGATGACGATCGAAGTATTTTGTTTTTCTGTATATTCTAATTAATTAATTGTTATTTCTTTGTTTCACTAGAAATTTAAAGATTGGCATCGACCACGTTTGGCGATCTTAGCTCGTGCTGAACCTACTTTCATTGCTTTCGAAACAATACCATCGAAAAAAGAAGCTGAAGCACTCGCTGAACTACTGAGAGAATTTCCTAATGTAAAAGCATGGCTTTCTTTCAATTGTCAGGTAAATATTAAACGATCTACTAAAAAACAAAATGATGATGAACCATAGGTGTAAATTTTTGTGATTAGAGAACATTTTCTATGACGTATGCTATGATTTGATAATTGAAGAACGATAGGGAAAAGTTTAGTTCTATAGGCCAATATAATCTTTTTGAATCATATGCCATAAATGAAAATGTAATCAGAGCAACGAAAATACCGCCATTTCACCTTGTGACATTAACATGTTTTTTTTGATAGTGAGCATAAAAAACAAAACATGATAATTAAGCCATATTTTTTATGCATATTTAAAAAGAAAATAGTTATTCAGTTTATAAGTTATCGGCACTAGTACATATCGTCGCACGACACTTCTTCGCGTTCACTTCGTCGCAATCATTTCGTCGCACGATCACTTCGTCGCAGAACATTTCGTCGCACGACACTTCGTCACAGAAAAATTCTTTTCGTTCTGTTCGTCCCTATCTATTTGTCGCATCTCTCTTAATGAATTATTCTTTTTGTGTACAACCAATGGAAATAACGTACAATAAATGAAATATTGCAAGAGATANAGGCAACATTACTCTTTAGTTCATTTTATTTCTTTAGATTATTTCTTTTCTCAATCTGTTCCTCATTATGTTATGTGTATTATGCACAAAATATAGAGAAATTAACTCATAAACTTTCCATTGGTTATACACAAAAAGAATAATTCATTAAGAGAGATGCGACAAATAGATAGGGACGAACAGAACGAAAAGAATTTTTCTGCGACGAAGTGTCGTGCGACGAAATGATTGCGACGAAATGATTGCGACGAAGTGCCGTGCGACGATATGTGCGGTCACCAAGTTATCTTGACTTTGCTGTTGTTCAGAAGAAACAACACAAATGAATAAGTGCTCGCGGATAGCTATTTCTAATAATCATTTATATTTAGGATTCTAAATTGACAGCACATGGTGAACCAATTGAAGAAGCAGCTGCATCTGTTTGTCTTAAATCTCCAGATCAAATTATAGCTGTTGGTGTGAATTGTGTACATCCAGAAACGGTTGTTCCTCTTATAAAACAAATGAATAATATCGATCGTGATTTCATTGCCTATCCAAATGCTGGTGTTACATGGGATGCTGAAAAGCAGTAAAAAGAAAATAATCTCGTTTTCGTTTTGATATATGTTCAGACTTGCCTGTTTATTTTGTCACCTTAGGATATTCGATAGTCAAGGTCAATCAATCACATCGTTTATTCATTCGTACATTGATACTGGTATAAAATACATTGGCGGATGTTGTCATGTTGGTCCCGATCAAATTCGTGCAATAAGAGACATTATTGATAGATATTCATCTTGAATAAAACAAATAAATCGTCGTAAATAGCACAATGAAATTGATCATTTGCTTTAAAGTTCATCAGTTTATGGTTGAACGATTTGAATTCGTATGATTTTGTTGAATATATCTTGCGAATGCCCTTTCAATCTATTAAACTTTGTCCTGTGAAATACTCTTCAATTGCAAGCTCGAAGTATGATCATAAAGTTTAATCGAAAGAAAAGGAGAAAAAAAAGATGACTAAGTGTTGCATCCAGTTGAGATAGTAAGCATGTACGTCTCGTCTTCAAAATATTCTTCTTTATTTACGGTGAACAAAACATTTACTCTGTTCCTACTTAGAGACAAATCGACGAAGCATGACTTACAATAAACATGTTTCGTACCGTACTTGCTATCGACTCATAAATATAAAAGGCGTGATAGGAGAAACTTGCAGCTTCTTGTTTTGTTTTTTCTTTCTACTACACTTTTTCTCACATAAATATCATCCTCATATAAGTATTACTACGCTGCCATTTTAATTCGTTTTACTTTTTTCTCGTGGCCAATTCGTTAGAGAGAAGAAGAAGAAAAAAAAAGAACTATGTCAAGTTTACTCCGTAGAATTTCACATCACGATATGAAAAAAGTAACAACATTAGTTAGATCAAAAACGTATGAAAGTGATCTGGCGAAATTAGACAGACGTTTACCAGTAAGTATTCGAGAATTTCTTATATGTTATAAAAAACTAACATTATATAACTCACGTATAAATTTAACCTTTCATACTTATACATCGTGTTTTTTTAAAATAACATATAAGCATGCATTTCTCATTTAATCACTCACCAACTAAAATTGAAAAAAAGGTAACGAATTTTTTTATTAGATGTTTAAAAAAGAAAATTTAAACAAAGAATTTTTAGCGTCAAGTAACTGTTTCCTCATTTGGACATGCATCCGACTTCGACTATAAACGTGATACAAAATTTTTAAGCAAAATTGTGAAACAATGTATGACAGCACATACATTGGATTTAAACTATATTCTTCATTTTCTATCGAACTATACGTGTGAACAACGTATTATTCTTGTTCGTGATCTTGAATTTGAATATGAATATAATTTAATTGATCTGGTCATTGAAAAACCAGAATCACCGATGCGCTCGTGTACTTTAGCGATGTTAATCGAACCGATCGAACTATACGTACGTGACTTTCATGATTTACTTACACATAAACAATTGAAAAAGATCGATTATGATATAACAAAAAAATTGGTGGAAATCTTATTACCATTAGATAATGATGATATAAAAAAATTTAAAGAATCATATGAAAATTTATTTGAAAGTCCTGTACAAAAAGATATTGAAATTGTTCAAGGTAGTGAAAGTATTGCAACAAATTTACTAAAAGAATTACTCGAAGGTAAACGTTACGAAGCATCTGGCTATTCAGCAACAATGGCGAAAGTTATAGGAAAGAAATTGTATGAAGTTGGTGAAGGTTCTCCTGGTATTGATTATGAGACATTTATAAAAATATTTACACATGATTCTTTTTCTCAATTATCGGCTATATTTGACATGTACGAAGATAAATATGGACGACCAATACAAGTAGCGATTGAACATGAATTTCAAGGAAAAATTGAAATCGAATGTTTTCAAGATATGGTTGAATATGTACGATTACCGAGTGGTTATCTTGCTAAAGTAATTCGACAGGCATTAGATAAAACACCCATTGATTATGTAACGCTATCACGTACAATCATTGGTCATGAAGAAAAGGATTTACGTGAAATCGGTTTAGAATACTCAAAAATCTATGACGAAACACTTGATCAAACAATTAATAGTCGTGTTGATATTTTAGAAATCAAACGCTTACTTATTCTTATTATAACACACGGACATGATATAACAGATGATGAAGACGGAAAAGTTCATTTTGATCACTCGTATGGTACTAACTCGACTAGTGCAGGAACACTAACTCAAGCAACACAATCACCGACGACTGGCAATGGAATGAGAAGAAACCCATCACACGAAGCATTCGATAAAGTTGTCAGTGTATTTAAAACCACGCGCACTCATTAATTCTAATTATTTTACTGTGTCTTTTTTTCTAATTGTGATTTTTTATTCTTTCTTTTTTATTAAAAATAACGCAAAGCAAATACAAATATTTCAATCGGGATTAGCTTTTGTTGGATCTGCATTTCCCCCATGTTCAAATATAGCTCTTTAATATCAAAACCAAAATGAATCAATTACTGCTTTTAAAACGAATATTTTGTTATTTGAATACCTTAGTTAGATATTCGCTACAGTATACGATGTACTCTATAATTTAATGATATTTCTAATAAATTATGCAATGACTTTCACGAGTTAGCTGCATGAAACTATGTGAGCAAAAGAGTGTGACATAGATGATAACTGAATGATAGATACAAAGTAACAAATATTTATCACGTCACGCCAACACCCGAATCATAACTAATCATACAGTGAATGTTGTGTTTTTTTATGAAAGCCATTCACTGTACTCGTGCTTTTCAACATGGACGTAGAAGTGGGCTTATTCTATTGAGTCTCTCCTATGAACGATCGTGTTTTATGTCGGTAAATTTACTGATTACTCTGATCAGCTGAGCTGATTTTTGTTTTCTTGGATAACTATCCAAATAAGAACAATTGAATTGTTATGGACAGACAATAACTACTTTGCACAACAGTAAATATTCAGACAAAAATTTAATGTATTTATCTCATTTTTACATGAAAGCTACAGATGAAACGAGTGTCACTGATGCATACAAATAATCCTTCAGTTTTGCTTATTAATAGCTGTCACTTTTTTTTTGAAATGTAAACTGCAGTAGATCATAATATTTCTACACAATAATTAGTTTTTATTGCCTTGAAGAAATAAAATATTAACAATAAAAATACCTTCAACTATGAATTTTACTTTTCTCATGTTCACTTTCAAGTTTCCATCAATTCTTACTTTGAAAAACATAAACTTACTTTTTATTCAAGACAATATTTTAAAAAAAACCATGAATGCTCATTGCCAACATATCAACGGAACGATTTTCTTTATTTCAAAATAACAATAAAAACCAATGAGAAGCACATTCGAAAACTCCTGAACGAACAGATACAGAACTAATGGAAAAACAAAAAGAGGAAGATATGGTACGAGAAAAAACAGGCCAATAGTTGATGTTTATCCGAGATATGATGTTAGTCTATTCTTTAATAATTCAATAAAACTATCTTTTTCTTTCCTGTTTCTATACAACTCGGCGAACTTCAAAAAATCGTTTAAGATAATAAACTTGACCGAATGCCATAGCTAAGAGAATAAAAGCTTCAAAGCATGACCACATAACAACACGAGAATTTGTATTTTCATTAACTAAAATGACATCGGTTATTTTATATGTCAACTATACATTGTTAACACTTACTTGCACGATGAATACGTTCTCTTACTTCCATAAATTCTTGTTCGTGTTTAACATTCGTTAATGAAGCTGATAATTCAGCAACTAATTCTTCTAGTTTATTATGATGAACTATAACAGAAAAAAAATCATTTCACTCTTTCGATAAGAAAAAAACGAAATATATTTACGTGTAATATTTTCACCTGCTGTGCCACTACCCACTTCAAGTTTAGGTGTATCACCAGCTACCATTGTAAACATAACCATTTTCGGTGTCATTGTTGACATTCTATTACTGAAACATATTGTATAAGTACCTAAATTAATATAGATAAGAATAAAAAATATAAATCATCGTATCAATTTCATTTACCATCCATATGAGCTGAAAATGTTGTTTTTCCACTAGATTCTCGATCACCACGATAAATTTCTTTTTGATCAGGACCAGTTATCTAGAAATGCAAAATTACCGAAATATAAATATTCAATGAAAAGATATACAAATATTTACTTTAACATCGATATCAAGAAAACCACCTTCGATTACTTCATATGTTAATAATAATTTTGTACCAGATGTTAATTTTTCAAAAAAACATTCATCTGAGTGAGCATCAACTACTACATAATATCCAACTGTATATTTGAATGATACGAGAGCGATGAATAACAACAATAAAATTGAATTCCAAGCCATGTAAATTTGAAAAAGATATTTTTTTTAATCAATTTTTTTAAAGTAGCTAAATGTGTTGAATTGTTCTTTGCACGAGTGATTATTTTCTAAGGGTAATATTGGACCACTGTGTCATCGAAGATCGACCAATCATCTCATTTCTTGGTGACATCGTCATCATCAATGGATTTTTGATCGAGATTTGTTAGAAAGTTATTAATCACAACAAATTAATTGAATTGAGCACAGAGAAAATCGTCAAAACTTAAACAATTTATACATGACGCGTCACTCTGAGTACGTCTGTTGACACGTACGTGCTGAGTAGGAGGCGCTATATAGCAGTGTACCTCATGAATCGACACGCGTACAAAAACGGTATTCATTGATGTCGGTGCCCATTCGAGTTTCTAATAGAAATCTGAAATAAATTTGTTTTGTACATTCTGTTTATCAAAGTGTAAATAAACGAAAACAGTTCAAATCATCTAGAAAGAGAATAAGAAAAATTCGTTGTTTATCTGTTTCATCATGAAAGAAAGTCACATCATATCATGGTACAGCTTTTGATGAATTGATAAATACATTTTTACGTAGAAGTTCGACCTCACAATGTGAATCTGCTGATACAGTAAGTGATGATGACGATGACAGTCATTTTATTTCGTACAAGCAGGCAAAGCTTTAAAATGCGTTTAAACGCTCAAAACTGGAATGTTTCGCTATTCGGACGCTCAGAAAGTAAATATTTTGCTCTTCTCATAACTTTTGAATGATCCACCAGAGAAACGCGAGTAACATCTTGTTTTGTTCACTGAGAAGTGCTCTGCAAGCTGTATTTAATATTTGTTTTTTATTCTTTTGTATTTTTCATAAGACATGCAAAACAGTATTTTATACAGGAAAAATAAAAATTACACTGTGTAGAGCACATTTGAGTGAACAAAATAAGACGTTGGTAATATTTCTCTGGTAGACCTTTTTAAGCTGATGAGAAAAATAAAACGCGTAAAAATATTGACGCACTTACCCAGGTCGAACTCGTACGGCGGGAAATGGCAGGCAACCACTGGAACGTGGAAGCAGTATTACGGTCGGAAATTGACGGCTTTTTTTCGGTGTGTTTCGGGCATCTTCCAGCCGAAAATCACAGGAAACTGACCGGAATCCATAGGAAAAAAATCCTGTAATTTCCGGTCGGAATACTGCTTCCCCTTTCCAGCGCTCTCTCGTGCTTTCCGGCCGTTTCCCACCGTACCTCTACGACCTGGGAGACTTTGAACCGAACCGAACCGATCGATTTTTCGAAAATTAGAAACCGAACCAATCCCATCACTGAGCTGCACCGCAGTCTCCACCGCCACAAGTGCAAGCACCACCATGAGCAAGATCAGTAGCTGTTGTGTCGCCATTTCGGGTCATACGTCAGTGGCGTCGGCGACGCAGGACACGACGGCACCAGCAGCGTGCTACTCCTCGGTCACGACTCAAACAATATGAATAATGCATAGGTTTTAGAACAGTCTATATTTTGTCTTTTTTTCCAGATCTTAAAACAAAAACAAGAAAAAAAAAGGTAAAATTCATATTTAAAGTATGTCAAGTTATGTTTTCTTTTCGTAAAAATTCGTCAGTTCTTTTTATTTTAACTCTCGTGTGTATGAAACGTTTACGTTCACTTTATTCGACATCATCGTTTACAAAAATTGATAATCTAACAACTAGCAAATTATATTAATAGCAACATTGATGGTAAATATATCTCTAGTTGATGATGCTGAAATTAAACAATTGTTTAACTCGGATTTATCCGAATGAACTGTCATTGTATATTTTTATTTATTTTGTAATTTTTTTATAAATTTGACCGAATAAAACTTTTTGTTTTTACTCATCGTCACGAACAAATGACAGTTTACAAGACACCCAAGTGAAAGACGCCGTTGAACAGTTAACATGCAAGGACACTCTATAAGACCCTGGGTCTTCTATTATGAGAAGAGGCTTAGGAGTTTCTGATTATTTTATCATACATGGTATAGCTACTCTGAAAAAAAGATATTTATCTTTAGGAGTTTCTTAAATCGTCGTTTCGCATGAGAATACATATCATGAGATGGGAACAATAGTAATTTTTTGAATGAAATGATTATTTTCGGAATTAAATACCTTCAATGAATAAGTATCGCATAGAATAAAAATATGATAGAATTCAATCGATGAGAGTAGTAGAATTATGTTTAAATCATATATCGTAATGTAATTTAGGACTTTGTAAATATTTTGGAAACCTGTTTGTATTTCTGATCCATCAATTATTTGACTGAAACCGTTAAAGTAGAATTTCATAGATAAAAAGAGATTCAACTGTCAATTGATGACATCAATTTGATGTCGAAGACTGTTTAAAGACTAGATTGTAGTGCCAAAATAATTAGTATATATTCTTTTCTAACTGTAAGTTTAAAAACAATTACTAGTTGCACTGTGATCTTGTTTTCTTTTAATCAACTTTTATATGAAGATTTATCATCGAGATAATAAAATATGTGGAAAAGAAAATCATATTTTATTAAATTGATCGATAGCTATGTTGCTTAAAATTCATGCATTCTATTGTATACAACAAATGAGTTACTTCACAGTATATAGCAATGAGTTTGGCTCGTTGGTGACTTGGTTGATAATATGCTTGATTTAATAAACCGATGTAATCTATACTGCATATTTCAAAGATAAACATCAATGGGATCTTTCAATGATTCTTGATATACTGTCAACACTACTCAATTAAAAAACTAACAAACTTAATTACGCAGCTCATATATATCGTCATCACCATGAAATAGGTTAACATCACTATTTTTCTCGTCTGTGTAAATACATGTTTGATATGACATATGTATGAAACGAACGTAAAATTTGCTACCAAGTTTTGTATAGATTTGTTTGAAGTTGAAAAAACACCAATACAGTACAATATTCGTGATTCGTTATTGGCTGATGCTTATCCATCATAGAGACAGAAGTGAAAAATAATTTTAATTATGTAGAAATAACTGTTCATTTTTCCTTGTATGACAACGCCTTCGAAAGTGATTATCGACCAATTGCAATTGAATCCTAACTATATACATATTTTTCAGTCAAATTTATGTTACATCATCTTTATTATTTATTTCAAATCACATGATTGTTGTTAAATCGATACTTATTCTAAATTTTTAATTGAAGGATCTGTTTGCATGCTAATAGAACAGAAAAAAAAATTGAATTGTCTAGCCTCGATTGTTTTGGGGACTTCAAGACAATCAAAACAACTAATTATTGCTTTGATCAGCTGATTAATCGAAACGTGACACTCACGAGAAAAGCGAAAGAAAGCAAATCTTATTTTAGTGCATTTTAAATCAACTTCTCTATAATTGACATTCTCTGCATCACCACTCTGACCATAATAATTCGATAACCATTGCAATTTATGATTAGGCTCCTATGAGACTTTGTGACGTTTTCAAATGAAACTATCGACATAACAATTTTATTTTTCTTCTCAGGTGCTTCAACCAACCAACGGATTTTGATGTCAAGTATCAACAAAAAAACAGAGTATGATTCGAATATTTTTTTACGATGCAACATTCCTTTATGTTTATAGTCAAAACAACAACAACAGGTAAAAGTATGTACCGATATTTTACAAGTCATGTACTATTTAATAGCATATGATCAAACTTGTGATTTAATGAGTGTACAGTATACGATAAATTTTCTCAGATATTCATACACAGAAATGTGTTTATTGATAATTAGATGTGCGTATGTAGACAAGAATCATTCACCTGATTTGTAGCAATTCATAAAAGTAGTATAACGAAAGAGTGATCCATAAATCTTGAAAAATTTCCATTTATCTATTGAGTTTTACTCGTACGTATTTTTTTCCGTGTTTCTAACACTACTCCTATACTAGTTGGTGTTATTCATACGCAGACACAGCACCGCGGGGGAACAAGGGTGAAGGCTGTCTCTAAAGGAAAAAATGTACTGAAGAAAAAATCTTCCGATCGACTGCCTGAATCATTATGTACTCGTGATGCTGGCGCCCTCGGTACATTCAAACGTCTTTTATTATTAATACCGAACAATAACCGAGGATCATATGTTTGTCGCTAGGTGGTCACAATAACTGTTTTCATCAATCCTCTGCTACACGAACTATTTATTGGTAACAAGATTCAACCAATCAATTTGACCTTCTTTTTTTGGTACATTCGAATAGATGAATGATCCTTTCGATTGATATTTGAATAGATTTCCAAGGTTAATAGATAATCATTTCATTATTCACTCTAGACTAATCTGTTGATTTAATGGGAAATATTTGTAAGATTGGCATTTTTTTAAAATAAGCCAACACAAATAAAAGCTCTTGTCTAGTTTCTCTTTTGTTTCTCTCTCATTTCTTTTTTTGTTTCTTTTACATAAAATGTGCATCTTTCGAATTCACAGGTAACTTTTCGTTTGTCTTGTTTATGTGTTGAGAAAAAAAAAAGACATCAACACCAGATGTGTCTGTTAAATAAATGAAAACATCAACTTTCTTTTGTTTTTCATTTTTACTTCTATTTCGTTTAGTTACTTATGATTTGAATTTTTAAGCAATCTTACCTAATTTTGCCCAACTTATGATCAATTATTTGCATTCGCATTATTAAAAAAAGATAAAAAGTTTGTATATTAAAAACAATACTCAAAATACTTAAATTGTTTTATTTAATTAGATTATGGCTGAAGCAGGAGAGGTTCATCAGGAAAGTCGAGCTAAATGGCCAATTAGTGCTGATGATTATGATCTTGAAGAAGTGATTGGTAAGAATTATAATAGAATATGAAATTGATGTTGTTTTCGATTTACAATATTACTTTTAGGTCGAGGAGCTACAGCTGTTGTTCAAGCTGCTTCAGTGAAAAAAACTAAAGAGCGTGTTGCGGTAAAACGAATTAATCTGGATCGATGTAATACGTCGCTTGAAGAACTTTTAGCAAGTTATTCTCATTATCAATTTCAGTTTTCTATCAAGAGACTTTTTCTTTTAGAAAGAAATACAAGTAATGAGCCAATGCCAACATGAAAATGTCGTACGATTTAATACGTCATTTGTTGTTGGAGAAGAATTATGGCTGATCATGAAATTATTAGATGGAGGTAAGAAGAAAAGCAAATCACTAATAAATAATATAATGGATTATATTTAAATTAGGTTCATTACTTGATGTCATACGTTACACGATGCAACGTGGTAATTGTCGTAATGGGGTACTCGATGAAGTTGCTATCGCAACTGTTTTACGAGAAGTTATTAAAGGTTTAGATTATTTTCATTCGAATGGTCACATTCACAGGTATGAATACATTTATGATAAAATTTATTTAAACGATGTTTTGTTATGGTTCTATTTCAAAGAGATATTAAAGCTGGAAACATCCTATTGGGTACTGATGGTAGTGTGCAAATTGCTGATTGTGGCGTTAGTGCTTTCATTGCATCAGGTGGAGATATAACACGAGACAAACAACGACATACATTTGTTGGAACGCCTTGTTGGTACGATCAATCGATTTAAATAATACATTGATTAATGTCTTATCGTGATTGATTTTTGTATTATTTTAGGATGGCACCTGAAGTTATGGAACAACACGTAAGTTATTTGTTCTTTCATTTATATATATATATATTCATATAATATTCTTTTTCTTTTAGCCGACTGGTTATGGTCCGTGAACGCCTTCGATTAAATTTGTTTTATACTGAATTTTTACTGTTTTTAAATAGACACCAAAGCAGATATATGGTCTTTCGGTATATTAGCAATTGAATTAGCAACGGGTACAGCTCCTTATCATAAATATCCTCCAATGAAAGTTAGTATTTCTTTTTTAATCCAATGTTTATTTTTTGTTTTTAAACTAATGAATCTTTTAGGTACTAATAATGACTTTACAAAATGAACCACCTACGTTAGACATGTGTGAAGAAGATCGTGACCAATATAAACAATATAGCAAAACCTTTAGGTTGCTTATTAATCAATTGACTATTTTAATATTCTATTTTGTTATCTAGAAAGTTAATTGAACAATGTTTACAAAAAAATCCTGCTGATCGTCCAACAGCTAAACAACTATTAAAACATGATTTCTTCAAAAAAGCTAAAGATCGTTCTTACATCGCAAAATATTTAGCATTGAAATTTCAAGATCGAAAGAAAATGGAAGAAAAAACAGTTAATCGACGTAAACCAACTTCTGTACGTGCTGTACGTGTTAGTGACAGTGGAGAATGGAAATTTAGTAGTGGTTCAGACGATGAAAATACAAGTGGAAGTGAAACGCCATCCAGTGATGATCCATCACATCAAATAAAAAAATCAGAAAATGAAACAGTTAAAAATAAGGAAGATTTAATTGAAAAAAATGAACCGACAACCAAACCAGTAATAGAAATTTGCTTCTTTTTTTGTAGAATGATCGTTTTTACTTTGATGACAATAATTATTTGTAGAGTCAGTCATCGAATGAAGCACCAATACCAATGGCTTCAGAAGAAGTCACTGCTACAATTAAAGAACTAACGATTAATGATCATCAAGTACTAAAATTTACTCTGAGAATACGGTAAATACAAGAAAATGAAATTCAGTAGTATTATTTAATAATTTTGTTTCGTAAAGTTTCTATTCGGAAGCAATTGAAGTGAGACGAATATTTTGATAAAAAAATTAATTATTAGAATTCAATAAGAACTAGTGTAGATCCTGTACCAGAGAAAATATTTTTAATGATATATTTTGTTTCTGATATGAGACTCAATGCGAAGTTTGCAATATTGTTACTGTAGACGTTTAGCTTGAGGCAATAAGTTTAGAAGCATAGCAACTTTGTATTTCTTCTTTCAAAGTTATTACAGTCAGAACAAGCCAAAAAAATTTTAATTAGCTGATCCAGTAGCCCAAAGCGAATTGTGTAGATTTTTATCACAAAACAAAATTTCTAGATACGTTCATTCGGTGGAAAATACGGGTTTTCGGCATTTCCGGCTCTCCTCAAGTCTCTAATGGCATGCTTTCAGCGAACATGATCATTATACTTGAGGCCTAAAGCACTACTTTTGTAAATATATTGTGTTTTACACTTGACTGCCCGTGCTCTGTAGATAGACAGTTTGAAAAAGATCTTGTTTTTTTTCCAGAAACCGCTGTTCGAGCAGATATATTTGTGTACAAACATATTAATAGGATTTGGAAAAATGTTTTACTTGTAGAGACATATATTAAAATAGTCAAAAATTTCCTATCGTTTGTTGTTCATATTACTATCACTGATCAGTTTGTAGTTGAATATTTAGAATGAACTTGATAGATATAATGAATACGACAGGAATGAATAAATAATTTCTTTCTTCGTTAAACTAAAATTTTGAATGAATATTGTTCTTTATTTAGAAATTCACAAGGAGATTTACATGATATTAAATTTGAATTCAATAAAGCAACTGAAACTGTGCCTGATGTTGTTTCGGAAATGGTGTCTGCTAGTCTAATAGATGAACGAGATGCACAACCTGGTAAATATCGTTTGTTTATTTGTGAATTTAATTTCATATTTCATATTTCTAGTTACTTCTACAATGACGAAACTCGTGGAAACTCCATCACTTAGTACTGCAACATTTGCTCTAGTTTGTTATTTATTCCTTCTAAAATCATTAATATATATTTATGTTCTTCTCTTATTAGAAATCTCATGTCGATCCCAATCAACCACCTGATGATAAATTACTTATTGGCTTTGCTCAACTTTCTTTGAACACTTGAGGGAAAATGGTGCTCTATTCATGCGTGTGCGTAATTGTCTTCGTAAAGCCAAGCTTTTCTATTCATATTCATATTTAAGTGAACTATTCTTTTATGTATTTAATATCTGTTTGTGAGGTGCTTTCGTTCTCCTTATTTTCCTGTCTCTTTCTTTATACCCATAAGAATTAATCTACTAAAACATAAATGAATTTTATCATCATTTACCACGAGTCGTCTGTCTAGCAGATAATTTCTACTTGAATCTCTCTGTGCATGCATGGTCCTCTCCTTGTTGCTCTTTTTGTATCATAAATATGCACGATTCCTTTTTCTTTTCTTGTTGCTCGTATATGTGTAACACGTTTATTTTTCACAAACGCCTCTTCATCTGCTTTAGTTCTTGTCGTTTTTTTTTCTATCCATATCAGTGGCAGTCACAAATTGTTCCTGCCGGTGATTTTTTTGTCTCAATCAAATAGCAAGATGGCAGAAAAAACACGATTAAAGAAAGCGAACTTAATTTTTTGCTGTTTTCAAACTGCAAATGTTTGAATCGACGAAATAGATGATTCTGGGGAAAGACTTATATTCGTTGACGTTGACTCATAGTCAATATTTTCGGTTGGTTCAACATCGATTACGGTTGCTGTTGTTATTGTTGTTGTAGGATCTATATTCGTAGGTACAGATTCGTATGATGGAGGAAGACTAGACGCAACAGATGTAGTTTCATCGCTTGCATACGGCGGTGGTGGAGTTGGATAACTTTCAACATAATGTGAAAATGGATGACGAGAACGATTTCGTTGCAATTGACGAAGAACAGATGTTGGTGGTGACGATGATGATGAACTGATACTAGATTCATCGGAATCGTCTAACTCTTTTTTACCACTACAAAATATTATAATCAGTATTATTATTATTGGTACACTAAGCGCTATTCCTATAAAGAGACCTATCAATGGCCAAAACCATGTTGTTTCGAACACTGAAGTATTTGATTCAACTTAAATAGAAAAAGTTATTGTATTTCCAAAGATTTCTATACGAAAATCTTACCCGCTGTCTGTGCATAGATTAATAATGGAAATGTAAAAAATACAAAATACACGATGAAAATATGCATTTTTCTGGATGTGCTGCGAAAATGTAACTGATGTATTAAATATATGACGAATCTTTTATACTGCTACTACTACTTGTGCGAAGCCTTGGACATTCAGAGGATGAAATACAATGTTTGTAGAGTTTCTCATTGCGCATTCTATCAATACTATTTATAACATACGTTTCTTTTTCAATGAGATTATGTTTTTAAAAGAAAACGAAAAGTCAACTGAATGCACTTTGCTATACTTTTGTTCAGTAGTTATTTTCGAATCATTTTTTTTCTTTATTTTTTATTATTATTCAACAATTGGTACGAAATAAGAAAGAGAAGCAGAAAAAACCGGGACAAGTTCTTTTATCTCAAACTACAGACAAGAAAAATGATCTATATCTATATAGTAATTAACCCAACGCTTGAACAAGTGGTCTAGTTAATGAATATGGCTCAAGAAGATTCATTGAACAAGAAGATATATCATAGTATAGCTTGACTGGTCGATATTCATTTGCTGTTTCATTTGAAGAATCTCTTTCTGGTATCGACCGAATTGGATTCAAATTAAATATGTTGCTTTGTTTTATAAGACTAGTATTTGTATAATCATGTTCGTCTAAATATTAAAGAATAAGAAAAAAAAGAATTTCAATGACAAAATTTTAGCATACTCGAGTAGCAAATCGTTGAATTAAAACAATTGACTGTCGGATTTAATGTTTTCATTAATGTTGAATGTGTTAATGTACTCAAATGTATTGCAGTTAGAATCGATATTGCAGAACCAAGTAAAACTAAACTTGTTAGCGCAAGACATTCTACCGTTTGTGGCAAAATTTTAAAGCAAAGACTATAAAATACATTTGAATCTTCAATGTCGACTTTGTCAATAGTTCTATTCAATTTTTTAGACATCTGAGTTTTGAACAATGAAAAAAATTGTTTATATTCATCACTTGGTATATGTAAATTCCAATGTAATGACAATAAAACTTGTCGTTCAATTAAATTAATACGTTCAATATGAATACCAGTTAATTCAGCTAAATCCGAGTTAAACAGTTGTTCATTTTCACCATCATCAACGAGATATTTATCTGCAATCAATGTTGCTATTAAATATAATTCACTAGTTGTTAGATTATCAATTTTTGTCAACGATGATGCCGAATGAAGTGAACGTAAACGTTTCATATACAAGAGACTTAAGACAAAGACACATGATGGTAAATTTCGACTTCTAGAAAATAGATTATGCGTTTTTCTTTTAGAATTTTATTTTTCATGTAACATATTTAACATACTTGCAAACGCTTAAAGCTAACGCACAGTCAATATTTAGCAGATGTTGTAATTGTTCAGCTGATCCATCTGTTAGAATGAAAAGAATCATTTCAGAGACAGCTTAAGAAAACTGATAGAAAATGCAGCAACCGCTCATTTCACTTGTTTTGAAATAGTATAGATGAAACCAATACCGGTTTTAGTTTTTCAGTAATCATGTCAGCATAGGTCATCGAAACATTAGATAGAGAAAACTCATGAACTTTAATTTCGAAAAATAAATCTACAGAATTTCGTACTTCGATTTTCCTTGTTTCTTTATGTAAAATTTAAATTAGGCTTCCTATCGATTTAACTATGGGTGAATGATGATTGAAAATTTATTGTATTCGCTTTCTGTTATTTTACAAAAACAAACATTGACATAACATTTTTTAAAGTATAATAGTTTGATGTTAGCAAAGAAAGAAATAATAACTTTTTCAATTTACTGCATATGATTTCAAAACTAAATGATAACTTACCGAAATCAGATAAAACAATATCATTAAGAATAAGATCATAATAAAGAGCGTTTTGATAATCGGTATCTTTTTCACGAGAAATCTAAAATATGAGAAATGATCGTCATGTTCAAAATAGATCAAATGACTTACCATGTTAATGAATGATTCGATCAAAATAATAATAAATCTGAAAGATGCATATTTTCTAATTTTATGTCTATTTTAAAATAGAACACGCAAATATTTGAAAAAAAACATGACCTTGAATATGTTTTTTTTCTTGCTGTTAACAGTAGGTTAGACAGTTACAAAAAGCAAATAGATTATTTTGTACAGAACTCGACTGGGGACATTTTTAGAGAGCGCACTTTGAGTATGTTCAATAAGTTTTGATGAGTGATGTGAATCAATTTAAACGAAAGGAAAATGTGTGATCAGTGAAGTGAATGAATCTATCGTGAATATTTTCACTGTGCATCTACTGTTGTATATTTCGATGAGTATTATGTATAGATAACTACGAAATATTTATAGATTCCTACTGATCTGCAATTACTACCTAAGAAATAATCGAAATTTCCAATAGTTTCTTAGATAGCTTCCAATGATTCGCTGTTTATTTTATAAATATTATTTATCAATGATTCATCTACAATAAAATAAAAGAGAGCATTATTAGTCGGCTGATGTTATAAATAAGGCAAAAGAAATCCATAACGAAAAATTTCAAAAAATATGAGCAAAATTTTTGATTTGAACGAATATTGTAGTCAATATATTTTTCTACTTAATTTCTTCGCGTTGCTTCCAATATACGTAAAATTTCAATGAATAAACGTGTTATATCAAGATAGATTTGTATAGCCGCATCAATATATTCTTCTGGTGAAGTTTTACGCATGATTCTTTGCGTATCGAAAACTAAATAAAGGCTAAATATAAGTGCACCACCTAAAGCCAAACCCAATTCCATCATTGGACTACGAATAAACATCTTAATAAATAAAAGAAATTGTTAATTTCAAATGAAAATAATTTCCTTTTTTCTAAGACTTACTTGCATGATACCACCAGCAAGCAACACGCATAGTAGTGCAAATAAACAAGCTCCCATGGCTGAAAAATCTCGTTTCGTTTGAAATGTATATATTGTTAAACCAACAACAATTACAGTTGTGATGATAATTGCTTGAATAACTAATATTTTGTCGAAAAATGACACAATAGTTCCAATGGTAAATGATTCAAATAACGTAAATAATCCAAGTAGAAAAAAATTCGTCGGATATTCTAAACGTTTAGCGTAGACAGCAAATAAACTAATCATTGTGGCAAAAAACATAAACAGCATAATGCTTGGATTTGTTTGAAAAAAGAGTTTTATATTTTCTGATGAGATCATAATTGCTGATACCAATGCAACAAAACCAAGTTGCGTTGCAACAATGCCATAGACCTTGCGTAAAAATTCTATAAAACAAAATGTTATTATTGATTTGAAAGTAAAATATTAAACTTACGCATGCGAATATAAACATGGCATGATGCAACATTACTACCGTACATGAAATCGTCCTCGATTGAGTTGTGTCCGATATCGATCATTTTTCAAAGATTCTTAGATAAAAATGAATAAAATATAACTCTTCTGTTTCTTTTTTTCCTCGAATGTAAGTTACTGAAATTATTTCGACTGACGTAATGATTAACTGGGTAAATAAATAGAAGGGTTGTTTTTCTCTTTCCTTCAATTACTAATACTCGCTGAGTCAATAGGTAGTAACAAGAAACAGCGACAATACAGATAAATCGATTTGAATAGAGGGCAGTCACTACTGGGTATGCTCTGCATTTATGCCTAATTATAGTCATGTGATATTAATATAAAAAAAGGCAAATAGATGCCCAATTTCAGTTCGCATATAAAGAAAAGTTCAGAAATACCATTGCTTATATTTATTACTAATTTCAAAAAACTACTAAGCAAGATTCTACATGTCAATTAATTTAAAGTGATTTAGCTAATAGTATAAATACAATGAAAAGTTGCCAAAAAAACATTTCATTTCGATATCCACAAGAATACGATGAGTCAATATCAAAATCAAAATACGTATTTGGAAATGGTTCATTGTTAAGCGTATAATGCCACCATTCTTTATCATAGTTAGTAAAACCAGCTTGTTCCATGATATTTTTAAGTATGATGCGATTTTCTTGATAAGTTCTATTAACAAGTGTACTATTTGTATGTGATGCTTCATCAAATAAATCAAACGATGAACCCATATCAATTGTACCATCATTTAAATATAGAATTTTGAAATTATCCGTTAGATTTCTTTCCATGGGTTTTAATGGGCTTTGTACATGTCTACCAAATAAAATTAAAGTTAAATCAATTGTACTTCCTCTTGTATGACCAGATTTTTCAGCAATATAACCAAGTTTAAATGCATCTTCTTTATTAATACGTGGATAATAAAAGTTCTTTTTAATTTGAGAATCATTTAAATTTTGTGTCCAATTCATAAACTGATTAACACTTTTCTGTGGACGATAACCATCATAAATAACTAATTCATAACCATTGTCTTTTGCCAGTAGTTGTGCTTGTTTCAAACCAATAGCTGCTGCTCTAGTTATAATTGAAACATTTGATAAATAACCATTCACAATATGACCCATAAAATTTTCATTACTTGCATAGCGTAAACTTATTTGGATATCTGGTATAATATCAGATACATATACAAAACCTGTTGGTATTGTACTAAATAAGCATGTATCACGACAAAAACATCTTAGTAGAACACGTAGAAGTATTGATATCGAAAGCCATGACATTTTTTATTCTGATATTGTATAGATTAAATGTTATGATGTGCGACCGAATTATAGATATTAACGTATTAAGTAAGAGGTAAAATCATATGTTTTAGAATCTTTTCAAATGTCGTTTTGATGAGAAAAAAGTTACGTGCAAAATTTCCAAATTTGGTTTCTACTACTGTCAACATAACGTGCAGTGTGCACGTTTTTCTTCCGTTCTGTGATAGTTACTTCAATTTTTTTTCGACGGTAAGATCACATGTTTTGCCGCAGTGGCGAATTTTAGAGAGGGTAGCGCTTTCTAAATTATATAATACGACGCAGAGAAATTTTTTTCGAAAATATATAAATCACACTAATCGACGATCTTGGCTTCGATTTGTCCAGATTCTAGCTTCTCTTGAATATCAGACAAGATTCTTTTGTCATTCCTTCTGTACAAGCTACATTTCGACCAGCCAAAGTATGATCTTATTTGGTTCAACATTATTCAATTGTAACTAGTAAATCAGTGAGATCATTTTCAATAAAAATACCGACAATTGTCTCGTTAAAAAAGAAATTAGCAGCTGTTTATGAATATCGAGATTGTTTCTATCATTAACATTTAATAAGTTTTAATTGATGTATACCCTTTTTCTTCCAAAATGAATAAGCAGAATATATTTGATACAAAATGTATGCAGCCGAGCAGTTGAAAAAATATAATTCTATTACTTTTATGAATGGTCTATGCTTAATTATTTCAAAAATAAATCATTGTTTTCTTTTTGTTGACTAAGAAGACAAAATGAAAATTGAATACTATTTTTTGTACGTCATTTTGATTTTGACTAGATCTGAATTATATTTTTACAAATAAAATACTTTTAATCGATTAAACAATTCATTTCTATTCGTAAAGAGAAAATCATTTGTTATAATATTTAACGCTATCTATTGTCTTTTTTTCTTTTTATTTAATTGAAAAGTGTTGCTCTGGCAGGTCGATGTTCCCATCAACCCGCACGATTTCGTCATCGCAACATGTATTTGATCAGTAAAGATCATTTACCTCTTGGTAAGTTGTAATAAGCAATTTTTCTCGCTGCGATGCGGGGCACGATATTCCTTCTGTCCTTACGCGTTTCATTTTTTTTCTGTTCTGTGCGAGCCTTGGAGTGAGCGATGTGTCATTGCAGCCGCAATTTCGTGCTTTCCTATCCTCCAAGATAGGCATCGCTTCTCGGCCTTTTCGGCTAAGATCAAAGTGTAGTATCTGTTCTCGTCGGTTTGAAAGCCGGCGCTGGTCCCATTGGGGCCAGGCTCTTTCAAGCGGATTTTTGGACATCGGCCAGG